TTGAAGGGATTATTAACCCCCAGAAAGCGATCCACCAGTCGACTAACAACCGGGTTCTTACTTTACTGCTAGGTAAACAGAGGCGTGTGGAGTAAGGAAATTTGCCCAACATTTTGCCATTCCCAGGAATCGAACCCAGGTCCTCTCGCTTGCAGCACTGTGCTCAGTTGGCTACCACGTTTTCGCCCACAAAATACAGTTCACTCTGTGAGGTGCTTTGAGACGTCTCAAAGACGTGATAAGGCGCTATATCAAATGCAAGGATTATTATTATTAAAAGTGAAAGTCAAAAAGTAGGCTGATTCCAGATTGTCAGGTTCCATCAAATCTAATTCCTGCACTAGCTGCACGAAGCCACACTGATACCGCTTCCTAACAAGAGTTGTTGTGGTCTGGAAGACACTGTCTGAAAGGCTGGTGGAAACAGATTCAAAAGCAATTTTCAAAAGGGAATTGGATAGGTATCTTGAAAAGGAAAAATTTGCAAGGTTATGGGGAGAGAGCGGGGGAGTGGGACTGATTGGGTAGCTCTTCCAAAGAGCACGATGGGCGAATGACCTCCTTCTGTGCTGTAATATTCTATGATTCACAAAGTGACATTGGTGGAGTTTCTTGCATGCAGATATCAGGAATGATGTTAGCTTTGCTTCCTGTACACATGCAAAGCAACTTGATGATGCAGAACTCAGCCATTTGTTAGGGCAGGAAGTTGGTTGGTCCATACCAGATGCCAGACATTACTGTACTTCCAGTAACCAGAGGTCCACAAGCCACCAGCATTGAAAGTAGATTTGCACTCCAGCCAGGCGTTTAATTATAGGCTTTCCCTGTGTATTAGGACAATTACTATCACCAACCAAACCTCTAATGAGATTTTGGCTCCATGCCTACACGTTTGTTCCAGTTGTACAGTAGTGCTATTTAGCTTTTCGTAAGCACCGTCCGAGATTGCCAATAGGAAAAGCATTTCAACGTCCTAAGTGAGTTTGCGAATTTGCAGGTGCTGCTGTAAAGCCACATCCTATAAATTGTATTGTTTGGTGTCGTTCTGCTGGCAGTTTAGTACATCAGTTTAAAATTCCCTGAGGACTTGTTTAAGAAACAGCTTATTGCTATAATGGGAAGATGGTGTAGTTGGTATACTTGACGGATGAAGTCAAATGGGCCAGAAATTCCTGTGCAAACTCCTGTGAACCTGAATCCGCTACAGTTTGAACAATGTCATATTGAGCAGATTGCTGAAGGTAGAATCTTTCACAACTGTTTCAAAATGTACAAATGATAGCAGTGTGCTTACCCCCCCCCCCCCCTTCAGCTGTGATGATCTTGAATTGGTTATTGATTGGCAATTCTGACAGCATGCACCTTTATATGATAATAAAAGTCCTTGCATGAGTCCTGTAGCTTAGAGGATCGAGCACCTGAGTTCAATTCCCAGGCAAAGTGAAACGTTAGGCAAGTTTCCTTACTCCGCATGCCTCTGTAACTAGCAGTAAATAGGAACCCAGTTGTTAGTAGACTGTTGGATTGCTTTTCCGGGGGTAATAATTCCTTTAAAAATTTATTTATTAGGTTATTATCTTTACCAGAAAGGATCTGAAGGTGAGCCAGTGGGGCAGTGTGTTATTGAGTGGTCAGTCATTCAGTCAGTCATCAAAAGATTGATCACTTCAATCCACGACTGTTTGGGGATATTGTGCGCAATTGGCTGACACGTTTCGCCCACAAAATATGCAGTCAGTACACGTTACAATATATTCTGTGAAGAACTTTAGACATCTCGAAGATGTGATAAGGCGCTATATCAAATGCAAGGATTATTATAGGTTCTTCTGTAATAGCCTTTAGAGCGATCTTGGTCTCATTCCATTCTGAGGGAAGAGAGACAAAAAAAGATGAGAATAAAGAAAAATGTGAAAATCTGAAGGCAAGGGAATTAGATAAACACATAGTCAGGAAGTGTATTAGAGAATACAGGGAAAGAGCACAGAATTGAGATTATTATAGATGGCTTCATTGGAGGAGAACAACAACAAATTACATTTGTATAAAACCTATCATGTCAGGAGGACTTTGAAAGGCGCTGGACAGTCAGGGAGGGAACAAGGCGGAGGGATTGGGAATTGGGATCAGGAGGGGTGGAGGGAGGATAGGTGTAGGAGGGTGACTGTAGGCACGGTCGAAGCAGAGGGTCTTGAAGGAGGCAAGCGAGGGGGCGAGGCGGAGGGACTGTGGAGGGTGGGGGCAGAGAGGCTGAAGGCCCGACCTCCGATGGTAGAGCGAAAAGGCGGGGGATGTGAAGCAGGCGGGAACCCACTGAGCGGAGGGAGCGAACAGGTTGGAAGGGGTTTAGGAGGTCACAGAGTTATGGAGGAGCAATACTAACATAAATAAAAACAGAAGTCGCTGGGATCACTCAGCAGGTCTGGCAGCATCTATGAAGAGAGGAAACTGAGTTCATCTTTCAGGTCGATGACCTTTTGTCAGAACTCCAAAGCTTTCAACTGTGTTGTCTATTTCTATGGTTCTATGATTCCTCCACTCCAGAGTATTTTCCTTTTCAGGCCAGATCTTCACTCCCTATTCGTTTTCCCAAAATGTAATAGCTTGTATTGATCAGCGTTACCTAGCTCTGCCACATGTTCAGCCATTTCTCCAGTCTATCAATGTTCTACTGAATCTACAGCCAATCTCACAACTTGCCAATCCACCCAATTTAGCATTTCAGAAATTTGGAATCAAGCCCTCCTATCACCGTATCCAAGTCATTAATGTGTATTGTAAAAAGCAGTTGACCCAGTAAAGATCATGAGGTGTGTGGTGAGGAGACTTGCCTAACGTTTCACCCTGCCCGGGAATCGAACCTGGGTCCTCTCGCTTGCGAAGGCGAGTGCTCAACATTGATTTCAAGATCCTCTCATTTGTTTTCAAATCCCTTCAGGCCCTCGCACTTCCCTACATCTTCAATCTGCTTACCCCCCATTCCACCGCCTGGTGCCTCCGCTCGGCCAGCTCCAGCCTCCTGTTTGTCCTTCGTCCCCTCCGCTCCACTATCGATGGGCATACGTTCAGCCACTACACCCCAAAACTCTGTACTCTTTCCTTGAATCTCTCTGCCTTGCCCCCTCCCTCCCTACTTTCAAATTCTACCTAAACACCTTCCTTTTTGATCATGCTTAAGGTCACCTCCCCCCTCCCTCTCCCCCTGGCTCGGTGTCAGACTCCGCCACTGACAAGCAATCCAGGACACTGTATAAATGCAAGTTGTTGATGATGATGCATACCACTAGTTATATCCGACCAGTTTGAGAAACATTCATTGATTCCCACTCTGTGCCATTCGTCCATCCACTTTAATACTGTGAGCCTCTATGTACGTGACAATAAAGCCCTCCTTTTTATACATTCTGTAAACCCAACACCAGCTTCCACAAAAGTATATATTTTTACACTTAACATGGTTACTTATATACTCGGCAAGTCTGTACTTAATATAAAATAGCGTAACATAATAAGAATGCTTTAAAAGGGATTGTTTCCCCTGATCCACATAGTTATGCTTCAGGACCGTCCTGTGGCTGCATTAAATCAATGATTCAATTGTTACAAGTTGTTTTGGATTTGTTTCAGTCTGTTGATGTTAAAAGTGAAGTAATTAATTTGTGTCAGCTGAAGCAATCGAATGTCAGACTGTCATAAAATGAAATTGAATTAATAATAATCTAATGTCCACATGCTGTTTTATCTTTTATCTTTCCGTGTATTTCAGCAAAACGTTAGTGAGATGCAATACATATGAGACCATGGCATTCTGACAAAGTGGGGAATAAAATATAGATATTTAGTGCTAAAGAATCACTAAATGGAATGAACTGTGAGCATGGACTTGTGTGTGGGGGGGGTGCCATTTTAAGATCCTAAAAGTAGTGTTGTGTATTTGTTTTGAACAAAGCATCTAACACCAGTCCTTGCCGGGCTCCACTGGCTCCCAATTACCAAAAGGATCGATTTCAAGATCCTCTCACTCATTTTCAATTCCATTCATGCCCTGGCACCTCCCTACATATCTGATCTGCTTATCCCCCACTCCACCACCTGCTGTCCCCGTTCCGGCCTATTTGTCCCTCATGCCCTACATTCCACCATCGGTGCCCATGCATTCAGCCACTACGCCCCGAAACTCTGGAACTCTCACCCTCAATCCCTCCGTGTTGCTCCTTCCCTGCCACCTTCAAATCCTGTCTGAAGACCTTCCTTTTTGATTGTGTTTACGGTCACCTCCTCCCTCCCACTCCCCCTGGCTCGTTGTCAAACTCTGCCACTCTCGAGCATTCCGGGACGCTACCTTGTGTGAGGGGTGCTGTTCAAGTTGTTGTTGTTGTTGTCTCACTCCTGGTCTGAATCTGAAAAATTCTGAATTCTGGAGAGACAAATCAGATTGCTTTTTGGGAGTAAACCACAAATTTTAGTGATTGTCCAACAGAGTAGATAGCGAAGTTGAGATTTCTTTCACTTCATAGAAATCTCTGTGCAAGTTATGTTTTCTGGGACTACATTATCGGGCAGGATTCTGGCAAATAAATGAATATGGCTCTGAAGTAATACAAGCCGAGCAGTTTTTGAAGGCTCTAAAAACGATGTAGTTAGTGTACATGTGTCTGCGTATTGGCACTGTACTGCAGCATTGACGTGACGTGTGAGCTGGCGTAACAGTAAACAGTTGTCGTGAACTAATGCTGTCCCAGTGTTGTGCTTGTTGTGCCTTAACACTGACTTCATTCATTCTTTCTCTTCCCTCTTGCTCCCTCTTTGGTGTTCTAGTGTTGCTTTCAATCCAGTCTCCAGTCCTGGTGCCTCTCCACCACTATAACCGATCCCAGAGCAGAGCATGCTGTGGCTGCCCAGCCTCCACTTGCCCTCAGTGTAATTTGTCTTTTAGTGCTTGGATTCTACACGCATCAGCTTTACTCAAATAACCCTGTCTGCTGTTTTTTTTGCAGGCAAGCTGGATACACTGGTATGAACCAAAGTGGTATCATGGGCTCTAGCTCCCCTTACAGCCAGTCTATGAACAACAGCTCTGTCCTGATGAACCCTCAGGCAGCTCCCTACAACATGGTCAACAGCTCCTCAGGTAATGCACTTTTTACATGAATGAGCACAGTTAAGTTGTTTGAGAACCACACCGCAGGGAAATCGCTTAATGGGAGGAGCACTGAAATAAATGCACCGCACGCACATCTTTCTTGTATTGTGACGAGTTATTGTCGTCTCTTAAGTGATAAGGTGGGTAATCAACCAACGACCTGCAGATATCGGCCTTGGAACCTGAAGGAGGCAGAAGGCGAAGATGACACAGAACGACAGCCGGTCTTTGGAAAACTTTGATGAGCTGAACGCTATCTTTCACCTTGTTGATTTTTGCAGATTTATCCGATCCTACCAAGATGTTCCGATGTTTGTTTGGTGACTTTGTTTCCACGTTCCCCACTAGTTAGAACCAGCCTTCACATCATGGAGCCTCTTTGGGGGGAAAAGGGTTCCCAGGGCTGAGCGCCCACTGCCAGCGTTCTCCAACTTTGGACACTGGCTTGTTGCTCTAACGTGGTGGGGAAGAGAGTCATACCCTTCTCAAAGAAACCAAGACAGTATGGCAGCATCAGACTTCTTATGGCAGCATCAGCATTTCCTAAGAGCACTTAAGAATGTTCGGTACCATAACATGAGCTTGTTACAGAGTTTGTAGGCCTTGATAATGGGGGAGACTTGCACTAGAAGAGCCTTCCTTCTGAGGACTACCATTTAAACTGCTAAATAATAGGTAGGCGAATAATGGACTTTTTCGAACCAAGATGCATTTCAGAAGCAGCTTGGTACTGTATAAGGTAAGGTGAGTATTCTTGAATGATCAGATTAAATACGTGACGAACCTATTCATCATCCAAGTACTCCTGTGAGCTTACATCTCCAAACAAAGAACATCACAACAAGGTAGCTCTCACAGCCACATGATGTCAGTATTTGAGGGATTCTAGTCTCGAAGATCTATGATTTTACATGACCAGGGAAAACCTCCATCCAAAACCTGTTTACTTCCGATTGGCATGCATATGCCAGTAATAGTGCCTTTAATTGCATTCTTAGAAGTCTAGAATGGATCTCTGAGCACCACATCTGTACCTGGGGGAGCTGTACACCTGGCCACACATATGGAGAGCAGTGTTTTTCAGGACATAACCTAGAACTGTGATCCCAGACAATTCAACTTGCCAGTGAACTTGGAGAAGTTCCACTTGGAAGTTTCCCAAGATATTATCCCCATAGGAACCCGATTGCAAACTATCTGGAGGAAACCATCGGAAGGTGATCTGGATGCTCTACCAACTCCCATGCAAAATAATACAGAATTGACTCTCAAACTCTGACTTTACATTTGAAACAAAGTTCAAACTTGACTTTCTGTGCCTCATCGGATAAAGATAGCAAAAGCAGAAATGTTCTATTTGTCCATGTATGATTTAATCTTTGTTTATTGTGCACATGTATAAACTAGTCCAAAATAAAATCTCTGAAAAGCCCTAGGAATGTCCCTGTGGGATTGGCCAATTTATCCGTGACGTGTGAAGAATAAATTAAATTGGAAAATATATCTCAAGGTGAGTGATGTGTCTGTACGTGGAGCGCTAACTTCACTTTAGTGACTTTTATTTGGTTTGTAATATAAGAGCTTATTGTCATCGAAGACTCCTATGGATACTAATTGAGCTGGAACCTGCTTCTATTTGTTTAAAGTGTTCATTAGCTCAAGCTCGTGAGTTTACATTTGACAACTTCATTTGATTTTAATCTAATGTACAATCGCAGGTTACTGTGTGTGTGCTCACAGTTACTGCTTTACTATCCACCACTGTTAAGCGCTCTGAGACGCTACCCTGCGTGGAAAGCGCTATATAAGTGCAAGTTGTTGTTGTAATACTCAATCCAGAAACAATCATGTGCTCAGTTCTGCTACAAAAGATGCTTTGATAAAATGCACACACACAAAAAACCAAAATAAACCATGTGCACAAAAAAGGAGCTCTCTTGGTCCATAGTTCTAGTCACACATTTGTATTTTTTTCGTAAGATTTTGCTGCTTTTTATAATTGCTACAAACTTCTCAAGTGACCTCTGAAACTCAACTTTTGTGTGAGGGGAATGTTTTGGGTTGAGTTTTGCTGCTGTTCTGAATGATCACAAATGTATTATCAGTCAGGGCTGAAAGTGGGTGGGGGGGGGGTGCTTGCCAATGCATTGTTCATCGTTTTATACTTAAATACCATAAAGGAGATGGGAATGGAAAAGACTGGATGGGATGGAGGGAGTAGATTGTTTCAAATGTTATTTTGTTGTGTGTAAAAGAGCAGCGGTAAGACAGGTATTACAGAATTACTAATCTCACCCAGCAGTTGTTTCATTTTGACCCAAGAGTGAGCTCAGCAAACGGTCACTCAGTCTGTGGGAAGAGAAGGAGCTACATGGTGATGAGAAAAGTGCTAAAATTATCACTTGCTGCTATCAGACAGGAAGTGCTGTGCTGTAGGCCACAAGCTGCAGATCAACTCAGTGCTTGATCGTGAATTCCGTTAAACTCAACTGAAAACAGCCCTGACAAGCAACGAGGCTTTGACAATGGTCTGAGCAGCATTTTAGACAGTGTTGGCTTAAATAACCACATTTAAGACTCCCCAAGTCCTACAAAGAGAGTCAAAACTGTATTTTTTTGTTTCAACACAATAGCTATTATTTGCTCTGGGGCTACATTTCACCCACTAAATATACAGTCAATTAACTTTATAGTATATTCTGTGAAGTGCTTTGAGGCACCTCAAAGACGTGTTAAGACGCGATATATGCAAGGATTATTGTTATTATTAGAAATGCCGTTAATATGATTCGTTTTAATGAAGCTAATTTTTTCCTCATGCGCAGAGGTGTTTAAACAAGATTAAACATTTTGTTTCACGTTTTAGCAGGAGTTAAGAACTTGTGGTCAATTAGATTTCATGTTTAGGTGGTGAAATACTGCAAGGGCTCGCTGCCAGAAGAAACGTGTTACTTCTCTCTTTTAAGACTTCGAGAGGTTGGGGGGGTGAGAGCAATCTTGGAAAATCTTGGGGAGAAACATACAGCAACTGTAATAACAAATGTAATCACACTTGTAAATTATTGGTTACATTTGAGCTTTTCATGAAGCAGTTTGTATCGCCTATGTTATGCCTCAGTATTCCCCTTCAATCCAGGACGCCACTCAAATGGANTTTTTAAGAACCATTAAAGTTGGTTTTATTTAACCGATTTTCAGTGAAAATATCATTTTCTTTGGTGACACTCAAGTGTTAAAAACAGATTTTCTCCTGAAATTGTTTTTTTTAAATTGAATGAACACACTTTTATCCAGCGTGTGGATAAAGTGCGCACTGATTCCTGGGGATGTGTACATTGAGAATGTGGGTGTGTGTTTGGGTGCAAACTTCACCCCAGTGGATTTTTTTAAGGACGAATAATGTTGACACAATTTGACTTGTCAGGCTGGCCTGGTGGTTGCGCTCTTGTCTCTTATATCAGAAGGTTGTGGGTTCAAGCCCCATGTCAGGATTTAGAATCGCATAGTCTAAACTGACAGTGTAATGCAGTGCTGGGAGGTGGGGAGGTTATTTTCGGAGGTGCCGACCTTCAGATGGTATGTTAAACGGAGGTTCCAGGTGGACCTTAAAGATCCCATGTCACTATTCGAAAACAGAAGGGTATCTTGCCAACAAATCCCCCAATTAAATTGGTCACTCACTCCACAGCTGTTTGTGGGACACTGCTGTGTGCAATTGGCTGCCGCGTTTCGCCCACAAAATACACAGTCAATCCAATTTACTATACATCCTGTGAAGTGCTTTGAGAGGTGATAAGGCAATTTATCAAATGCAAAGGCAATTTAAAGTTGCAAACTTTTGAACAGTGTAGGTTTAGAGATAGAAAAAGATAGAAAATTAGACACAGCAAGAATCAGAGCAGAGAAACTCAAGAGAGAGAGAGAGATATTGGCACCGAAAGTGACAGACAGGGACTGAGAGCAATGGAGAAACAGAGAGTGAGATTGTGTGAGAAAAAGTGATAATATCTGAGCGAGATGGAGAAGGGTTGGCACAATAGGGTACCACAGTGACACCAAAGTCCTAAAGGAACATTTTTTTAGTTACTGTTGTAGGCAATTGGCATTTTGTATGAAACTATCTGTCCCTTTGATTATCTGCATTTAGTGTGCATTTAATTACAACCTTCTGAGAAGCTCATTGAGACGTCTCGAAGACGTGATAGGCACTGTATCAAATGCAAGGATTATTATTATTAAAATTGGTTCTTGTGGATGAATCGATGATTGTGTGTCATTAAAGCAAATGTTTTGTTTGTGTCCGGATTATTTTCTTATGTTTTCAATGTTCAAAATAAAATCTGATTTTTACCGAATTTACTCGGGGGGGATGGGGGGCTGCTTTTTATATCAATTCCAACTCTCTTTCCCTCTCCCCCCAATTTCCCCCCCCTTTTTTGACACAAAAAATTGACCCCAAGAAATACTGGCGTTTTATATTGTGGATAAAATTAGCCTTTAATGGTCTTTATGGATTTTCAATCAGTTATCACTGCAAATGCTGTCTTTCTTTGCAAACCACATTGTCTTAAAGCCATGTTTGATGACCTTGCCATTAAACCTGGACCTGATCCAACCATAACATTGCTTTTCCCATTTGACTCTCATCATGCAGACATTCTGATCTGAGCATGATAATTCTTGGCATATTCCTTGTGCGTTTATCAGGATTCACTTGTATTTCATGCCAATCATCCATAATTTTCACATAGTAACCCAGTCTTTGACTTGTTCCGCTTCTTAATCCTACAGCACTGCAAGATCATGCATGGGTGGGCTGCGTTTTGATGTGTGAAATTGATCTCAATTTAATGCACAACTCTCCTTGAAAGGGGATGGTGCTGATTCATCCAGTTTACTCTCTCTCCACCCTTTGCTTCCTACCTCTGTGTTTCACCAGCAGGCAGAAGGATAGGCTAGAGAGAGCCACGAAAGGGCCCCATCAATTTGCAGTGAAATCTGCACCTTCTTTGGGCAGCAGAGTGACTCGAGGGGAGTTTGGTTTTAACCAATGCCTGAGAGATCAACATCTGGCTGTTGTGTGGCACTTCATCTATCTACTCTCTACCTAAGTCATCTTAACGGCTGTTAAACATTTTGCAGCTGAAACAAGCAGGTCTGAGAGAAGTGGGCCAGCAAGCAGCCTGGCATTGGAACTTGTAACCTTGTGTCTGGGATCAGATATCAAATACAAGGTATATTAATTACTACATTGGGGGTGATTTGCTAGCAGTTATGCCATTTGAAGTGCTTTTTCAACTCCACATCTCTAAGAAAGTATTGGATAGTCGTTTTCTGAAAGTAGCAGGGAAGTAATTCGATTTGAAAATCAGCAGTTCTCTTGGTAATTCAGGTCAACTTGCTCTTGTTTTTTGTCCCCCACCAATTTACTGCCCTCATCTACTTTTGGGCTGCAATTATTGAGAGTACAGTTTTACAAGAATACGACCTTCCAGTACATCAGCAGACTTTGTGGATTAATCTAGATAATGAGTGTCTGCAGATTAGCAATTTGGGGCGGGGGGGTGTCAAAGCCTCCTGATTGTATCCTTACACAAAACCACACTCCCTGTAGGAGGCATTTGATGGCATTTAGGAGCAGGAACCCTGGAGAATTTATTTTCTTTATGGTGACAATTATGGTGTAAAACTGACATCTCAGCTCATATCAGCTAATTCAGCACAGACCAGTGATCAAACCTGAATTGAGTTATACATTTCCTGTTGCATTCATACTGCTGGGAATGAGGCTGCTTTTCTCCCAACACGTTGTGAGAAACTGGGTTTAAACTGCATGCTCCACGTCACTTTCAGTTGCACCAGAATCAGGTGTTTGGTTTGTTATCATCAAAGAGACAATTTTGTTATGAACTCAATATTGCAAATGCTCCTTCAAAGTTCTCGGGCCACTCAAACAGTAACAGCTCAGGGGCTTTGAAGGCAGTGGGAGTTGCTCTCACTGTTTATTCTGTGCAGGTATAAATCGCATCTCACCTGCAGTAACATCCTTGTGTTGTTAACAGCATGACTCAATGTGATTTGGACTCTCAAAGTTCCTGTTAACCCTGCAAGCCAAAGCCCTAATGGGTAGGGTGGTCCTAGCTGGACAAGCTTGCCAGACACCAATATCAATGGCAAGCTATGTGGATTTATCTGGTTAGACTCCAGCAGTTACCCCAACACACACTCTGGTGTCCCCAAGTCTTGCCTCTTGCCAACCTGCATCTAATACCTTCCGGAATTAGATAAACAGGATGTGTCGCTTCAGAGAGAGAGTGCACATTCCATTCCAATAATCTATCTTTGTGATTTCCATGTGTAGGTGGGATGCATAGAAATCTCAGCTTGGTTTGGAGACTCTTACGCACAGTGATGGGTTTCCGCATGTGTCAAACACCCAGCTAAGCAAAAAAAGTCCCCTGTTTATATTGCACATTTGGTGTTGCATCACCAACAAATTTGCTGCAGTTTATGGTACGTGGAAAACACCTAGGAAGACCTAACAGCCTCATTTATCATGACTGTTTGCGGGACATACACAGTCAATTCACTTTACAGTATATTCTGTGAAGAGCTTTGAGACGTCTCGAAGACGTGATAAGGCGTTATATCAAATGCAAGGATTATTATGACAGCCCAGTGCTGTTTAAAATGCTACTTTGTTCTAATCTGTTATGTGTGAGAGCATTTGCACTTGTTTGGCACAATTCTCATCTCCTGCGTGTTAGCAGGTTGTTCAGGATCCCGCTCTATTCATTTTGAATCCCAGCATTCGTTCCGAAGTGGCGACAACGCCTTCTTGCCCAACGCAGCTGAGCAAATCGGATTGATGCTCGCATGTAGATGATGAACACACACGGCAACTTCTGTGCCAAAATCTGAGCGGAGGAGAAAATAAAGCTGTCGCTAAAATCCATTCACAGATCGCCCACTATAAAACTGATTACACTACACATCCGTGTAGAAACACGTCTCGCAAAACAATTAGTTTTAATTACACCAGCCATAGAGCGAGGCCCTAGTGAATAGGCTGGCAAGCTCTGGCACCAATCTGCAATTCTGTAAACATCCCCAACTGATCCGGGCAGCTGTCCTTGCCAAAATCATACTTGAATGTACCAGTGTGCTTTGTACATTATGGTCGAGGTGCGAGCTGCTTTCAACTGAGCATAAAAATGCTTCTCATCCTGTCTGTTCACGGTCTTCTTATGAGCCTTTTGAGCTCCTGAAGTGCTTAAAGACTCAAAATTGTTTGCATTGCTCTGGAGCTTATCATTCAGATGCCAGAGTGACTATTGGTGTTTTCAAATAGTACCTATTGGATGTTTAGACTGAGCCATGTCTAAGCTTTACTCCTCTGTATCACAATACTTGTCCTAGTCCTACAGTTCTGTTCCCCTCCCCGCCCCCGGCTTGTTTGCAGTTACTCCTGTGTGTGTGTGTGCGTGTGTGTATAAGGACAGTACAGTATACAACATCCAAACTGATGCACCTAGACTGCACCACAGTGCCATCTCTAGGCTAACAAAGTGCATTCACTGAACCTTTTACTTTCGTTCCCCCAAACATTGTTGACGACTCTTTAAATTAGGCATTGCAGTAATCTACAGTTCAGGGCATCACAGATCAGTACTTTTTAAGCTACCACATACATTCAAATTAGTGTGGCACAAAAATTGTAATGGGTAGATATTTATCTAGAAGAGATAAAACTACATGGGCCAAACAGTATTGGTTAGATCTCACCTTATTACATCTCGTTGCATTTTCCTTTCCTGTTCCTGAAATGTTATATATCTGAAAGCTTTGTTTTCATCCAGCAGCTCTTTAACGCTGAGCCATGGTATGCTATAGTGTTGGCACTAAGCATAGCCAGTCATTCCACCACAAAGTTAAAAGAACCATACTGCTTTGTGCCTTTCTTTTTAAAAAAATTTACACACTGATTTCTTCCATACAGAAGCCGCTTGTTCCCATGCAGCTACCTTCAGCCAGGAGGGTGGCTTGGTCTGAGCTGTGGACTGCTCCGCGGCTAACGTCAGCACCAGCCACTCCGCGATCCGGCTAGCATGGTGGTACTGCGAGGTGAGCCAACTGGGCCATTATTCCCTTCCTACCTTCCAAGATGGACTGCCAGCGCTCACAGTGCCAGGCACAGTCTTTAACGCAGGAATGCCCAACAACAAATTACATTTGTATAGCGCCTTTCACATCAGAAAGACATCCCAAAGTGTCCAGTCACTTTCTGGGGTGGGGTGGGAGGGGTTCATTGAGCTGAGTGACATTCTGGAAGAGAGACCACAACTATTCACAGCAATGTTAAAGCCACCGTCTTTTATATGCGTTTCCATAAACCTGATCCAATGCTCGGTCACTCTGGCATCTGAATACAAGTTGTGGAAATATCTAGGTACAATTTACTCTGCTTATTGAGTATGGATGCATAAATTATTTGGAGTGTGCCAAGCATTCTGAAATTAAGCCTGTAACAAGAGTTTTATAACTACACAGAAAACATGAAACGAAGAAAGACGAACAATTCACCGCCATCAAGCCTGCTTTTCCCACAGATGATCAACTCCTTAACTTACTGTGGACTACACTATACCTGCCATCTCCTGCAGGGCGTTCTGTATAAATACTCATAGGTTGGACCAGACCGGATTGTCACCTTTTGGCGTGATTGACATGAAGATTGGCACTCAAAACTGCTGTGAGTGGCCAAGGTGCTTTTAAACCAAGCCACGACTGAAAACAACCAACTGGATTAGGATCTTTCTGGGCTGTAGCTGTGTCTGGCTACTGAATACTGCAAGGACGGACGTAAAACTTTCGCTTATCAAAATCCTGAAGGCGGTGGTTCACATAAGCCCTTTAGTAGCCAGACTGTGTGCATGTGCACAGGCAAAGTGAAGACATCAGCTTTCACAGTCAGACTCACAGGGTCAATGTCAACAGACCATGATAAATACTGCGAATTGTCGGGAAATCTCTTTTAAATCTAGATTTATAAGTGATGGTAAACTAGGGACCATGTCATTTTGTGAGTATTGTTGATTGTTTTTTTCCCCCCAATAAATTGCAAGAGGAATGAATGCAGGTTTGAATTCAGTTGCAGAAGAGCAACACAGAGTTGATTTGGAAAAATAACTGGCTGGTTTAGATCTATGATAAACTGGTGTGAGTTTTACACAATAACAGTATTAAAATTTTCCTGACGGGAGATTCAAGAGGTGAGGAAGCATGCAATACCCGATTGGTGTCCGCCATTGGAGCCATGCTGTGTGCTGTGCTTCCACTGATTTCTGCCTTCGTTGCTATATAATGGCATTTTGTGTCGGTACATACAACGGTGCCCTTTCTGTTTATTTGAGTCTATTAGTCTGCAGAATTGTGACTCGATCATGTCTTCTTAACCACTAATTGTAGTCTCTCAATTGTTTTTTTCTGAACAGCTTCAATGAGTCTTGGAACAGACATGATGACCCAAGGGGAATCCAAACTGCCTGTAGCTCAAAAATTGGACAGCAAAGAAGATGGGCCACCTTCATCTGAGACCAAGTCTAAGGTATTTCTTCAGCATGTGGTGTTGGTCTTGGCTGAGCAAGTCTGCGCTGTTAAAATCATTTGATTTTCAGCCTCTTTGTTTTCTGCTTTCTGCATGCCATCTTCTGTGTTGGATTTGAATGTTCTTAAGATACTTGAAGACAGCGGGGAGTTTCGCTTTATGGTGGTAGAAAAACTCTTGCCTGGTTCTGGAAACTGCAGCCATTTTTCCTGCCTCCTCTGCAGTAAGAACAGCAACAGACGCATATTTATTTAGTATGTTGCTTTCCCTGCCTTTTTGTTTTGCAAAACTGGGTGAAGCGGATTCCTTTGGGGTGACAATTCCTGTGCTGAGCATCTCATGTAAGCTTGGTGGCTCAGTGATTCCGCAAAGCATTCCACAATTTTCTAAATCCTACTCATTTCTAAATGTTAGAGGAGTTCTTTTTCTTGCAAGTAAGAGTTAAAATTGGACAAACTTGTAAATAACTTTTTTTTCCTTCTTTTGACTGAATTTTGTGCCCTAGCTGTTTTATATTTTTGTCCCTCTACTACAGGATAGCTACAGCTCTCAGGGTATGTCTCAATCTCCTGCCCCAGTCCCTTGCCCCATGTCCCCAAGTCCTGCTAGCATCTCCTCATTGCATGGAGATGAAAGTGATAGCATTAGCAGCCCTGGCTGGCCAAAGACTCCATCAAGCCCTGTAAGTGGCTCTGTTTATTAACTGGTCAGTATACTTGTGGAATGTTTTGTTTTCTTGAAGTATTATTTGTCATAAAATTTGTTCTGATTTGAGCAACACGCTCCCTCCACCCCGCAAAAAAGCCTTTCAATTGTGGGGAAAATGTTGTGTAAAATGAGTAAGATGTTACTGTATAAAGTTCCTTCCCAGGAAGAGATGTGACCACTGAACCTGGCTATAACCACTGCTCCTGGGCAAAACCTTTGTTCAGCAAGTTATATATATATATATAAACGCAATATAATAATAATAATCCTTGCATTTGATATAGCGTCTTATTACGTCTTCGAGGCGTCTCAAAGCATTTCACAGAATATACTGTAAAGTGAATTGACTGTAGATTTTGTGGTCAAAACATAGCAGCCAATTGCAATCCAATTATACATGTGTATTAAAGATGGTGTTGAAGACTTAACAACAACAACAGCTTTCATTTATAAAGCATCCATCGTGTGGGGTAGTGTCCCGAACCGCCTATGGTCACTTCCCCCCCCCTCCCCGGCTCAGCATCAGACTCCACCACTGTCAACCGTGGGACTGCAATACACTCCTCAGCAGCTGAAACTAAATCTAGTTTCCCTGGCACCTCCCTACCTCCCCGATCTGCTTAACTCCCCATTCCACCATTCTCTCACTCCGCTTGGACGGCTCCAGCCTCCTGTTCGTCCCTCGTCCCCTCAGCTCCAGCATTCATCGGTGGCCATGCCTTCAGCCACTATGTCCCAAAACTCTAGAACTCTTTCCCTGAATCCCTCCGCTTTGCCCCCTGCCTCCCCACTTTCAAATCCCGCCTGAAGACCTTCCTTTTTGAATGTGCTCACTGTCACCTCCCCCCCTCTCTCTCCCCCTGGCTCTGTGTCAGACTCCGCCACTGTCAAACACCCCAGGATGCTACCCTGTGTGAAGGGCGCTGTATAAATGCAAGTTGTTGTTAATTACATGATGAATAAATCCCTTTTATTGGTTGTTAACTACATATTTATGGGCACCTAAAGTTCTCTCTGCACACATGGGTTACACATGGCATATACAGGTAATGCACATGGTTATACAGGTTTTGCGCTTGGCACATAATGTACCAGTACCCAGCCAAAGTGAGACCTACTCCATTGGCACATTAAAGCAGACAGATAGGCAGATACACACAATCATGTTTTTTATGACTTAATAACTCCTCAGTTATGAACTAATTTGATCGAAACAAGACATTAGTACATTTTATCACTCACTTATTAGTACCTGTTCAACCGTCTGTTGTGCCTGCGCTCATGGGCATTGAGACACTCCATCTGGATTCTTCCTGGATTGGAGTGCTGTAGCTCAGTGGTTAGAACCACAAGCGAGAGGACCTGGGTTCAATTCCCGGGCAGGGCAAAACTTCAGGCGGGGTGAAACAATGGGCAAGTTTCCTTACTCCACATGCCTCTGTTCACCTAGCAGTATGTAGGAACCCAGTTGTTAGTTGATTGGCGGATCTCTGTTCCGGGAATAATAATCCCTTCAAAAGAATAAATTAAAAAACTAACAATAATTTGGTCACTCAATCCATGACTATTTGTAGGACACTGCTGTTCACAATTGGCTGCCGTGTTTTGCCCACAAAATATACAATCCATTCACTTTACAGTATATTCTGTGAAGTGCTGTGAGACATCTCGAACACGTGGTAAGGCTCTATATCAAATGCAAGGATTATTATCATTATTAGTGAAGACACTGGAGTAGCAACATACACTCATCCCAGCTCTGTTTTTAAACAGGCCATTCAGAGTTTGCAGCGAGCCAAAATATTGCATTGTGTTCAGCATAGTCGGAGATTCAAAAGGGACTTAATTGGCATTCACAGGTCAATAGGTTCATTGACCCTAAATAAATGAAAAGGCTGATATATATATTAGGGGGGGGGCAGATAAACACTGCCTTATCACCTTGGGATAATAATACACCATTGTCAGCAATTTTACTTCGGCTCTGTTGCTGTGTGTTTTCCTGCAGTGACTACAGTAGATCAGAACTCCCAACTCGGAGACAAAGAAAACACAACAGCAAATTCTCTCTTGTAGTAACCATGAACTGGGCCAATAGAAAAGTGCAGAAACAAAATATATTTGTACTTTCATGTCCCAAAAATTGCAGGGAGATTTGGCAAATTTTGCGGAAAATTGCGAGGGTTTGATTGGTGATACTGAGGTACATTTTACTGCCAACCAACAATGTTTTTACCTTATTGATAAAACTAAACAAGGAAATAACACGTTAGATTGTTGCAAAAAAATATTTTTTTTCTTTAGCGAAAACTGGGCAGCCAATTTGGGTGGGGTGGGGAGGGCACCAACACAGGCCCAAAGGGACTGGTGGTCTGCCAAAAAACAGACACTCAGGACCAGTGTCTGACTGTGGAGCTACAGGTGTTCATCACCTCCTGCCTTTCACAGCCCAGTGCCACACACAGACCATAGACAAAGAGACATACACACAGACAAAGGAGAGAGAGAGAATGTGTGTATACACGTTCACACAGACATTCATACACATCTACACACTCACAAACACATACATACAGAAGAGACACAGGCATACTCACACAGAGACACTCACAAACACACATACATACAGAAAGAGACACACACTCACATAGAGACATTCACTAACACGTAGAAGGAGAGAGACACAGATAATTTCAACAGCCGGGCCTCCAAGTGGAGCGAACAGAACCCGGGGCCAGAAACTTAATTTTAACGGGTTTGTAGCGGATTCCACCGAAAAATTACAGCCACACTTTTCTTATCAGCCCAAGTCATATACAATGTTAGACATCATAGAACAATCAAATAAGTATTCTTGATGTTCAAATGTTTGTTGGGCTCTCTATGATATTGATTGATGTGGGCTCCACCAGCCCGCCACCACTGAGCTAAAAGGTTCTCACTGTATAAATGAAATGTGAGAGGTTTGAGTATGAGCATGGAAATGAAACACGGGAATATAAAAACAAAAGTCGCTGTGAACATTCAGCAGGTCAGAATACCTGCAGTATTCTGTCTTTCGAAATAAAACGCTGGTCTCTTTTACCTGATGTTTCTCTCCCTGAACTAGGAGCTTTATCATTTCTCATTTGTTTTTTCAAATAGCAACAGGAAATGCAGCATTTTTAACGACAGTTGATCACTTGAGTCACTATGTTCTACATGTTGCTTTACAGAAGTCAAACTCATCCACAACCGGTGAGAAGATTGCCAGGCTGTATGATCTGGGGGTTGAGCAGGATCGCAAGATATGGATTGACCGTTATCTGTCTTTTATGGAAGAGAGAGGAACACCGGTTGCCAGCCTACCTGCCGTGGGCAAAAAACCACTGGACCTTTACCGACTCTATGCCTGTGTGAAGGAAATCGGTGGTCTGGCACAGGTAGGTAATAAATGCAATTGAACCTAGGCTCAGTAGTTCAAAGGCCTCATCTTAAGCTGAGAGATATGGATGACACCAAAGAATGTATTTTTAATGACAGCTAAACTAATTCTTCTCATTCAAACATGGACTAACTCTATTTGTCGTTCACAGTGGTAGATTTTACTTTTTCCCCTCTCCTCTCCCACCTTTCTGTGCACCTCACAACAATGGTCCAGTCCCAGGGGATCCCTACCCAAAGCTTTGCCCGATGCGGAACATCAGGATTCGGAGTTCAGAAGAGGATACCGACTGAATTAAATTGGTTGTCTCTTCTACTTCTGGCCTGCTTCACGTCCCCCCACCTTGCCCGCCCCACCACTGTGCTCGTTATCCTAATCCATGGCCCAAGATACTACGGCCAATTGTATCCCTTCTGTGACCCCAGCTCAGATCAATAACTGAGTACAGACATTTCACATTGAAAATGGGAGCTTACACTATAGCTCAATTGCACACTACTGGACATTGCTAAAGCCCAGTTTTGTGATATCTAGTTCAATTCGGGGTATTTTTTAGCTGTGCATGTACCTGCCTTTAGACCTTCCAGTGTCAATTCATGACCTATAGACCTGAAATCCCCAAACTTGTATCTGCAGTCGACAAGCAGTCGTCCTAGCTTATTAGCAGTGAGCGCATCAATCTGACCCAGATGACTTAGCTGATGTGGTTGTGTACAGTGAGTGATGGACAGTACCAGACTGGAATGTCGCTGAATAATTTTAATGATCTCCCTAGGTTAACAAAAACAAAAAATGGCGTGAGCTGGCGACCACCCTGTGCGTGGGCACGTCCTCGAGCGCAGCTAGCTCTCTGAAGAAGCAGTACATCCAGTACCTGTTTGCCTTTGAATGTAAGATTGAACGTGGAGAGGAGCCACCTCCTGAGATGTTCACTCCTGCAGAATCCAAAAAACAGCCCAAGATCCAACCACCATCGCCAGGTCAGTACCCATTTGTCACACCAAAGCCAACACTTAATTTGTGTTGTTCTGCAGGCGGGTTGATTACAATCTCCAGAAAAATCTCTGCGCGGTGGAAAGCACCTTAAAAAATGTGCTTGTTCGTTTAAGAGCAGTATTGTTGATGTTAATGTATGGAGTCCAGTGCCTTACCATTTAGAGCAATCGCCTCGCAAACAAGAGGACCTGAGTTTGATTCCCGGGCAGGCGCAACGTTAGGCAAATTTGCTTATTCCACACGCCTCTGTTCACCTAGCAGTAAGTAGGAACCCGGTTGTTAGTTGATTGGGGGAATCACTTTTCCGGGAGTAATACTCCCTTTAAAAAATAAAGAATGATAATACTTTGGTTACTCAATCCACGACTGTTTGTGAGCCCAATTGCCTGATGCATTTCACCCACAAAATATAAAGTCAATTCACGTTGCAATATATTCTGTGAAGCTCTTTGAGACTCTCGAAGACGTGATAAGGCGTTATATCAAATGCAAGGATTATTATTATAAGCCTGGGGAAATCTTCCTTCATCAATAGTACATATCACTGACAAACAATAGAGGATCCAAAAATGAAATGTACAAAATGAATTAAAATTAAAACGTCACTGCATTTCCCCATCAAAGTCACAGTCATGTGATTGTATATTCTCTAATTATCTTCTACCTGCTTCTCGTTTAATCTTACATTTTTACCATCATATTTGGAGGCTGTCTTATCCTTGATTCCCTCTGTGGTAGAGAATCCTGATGTTCCGCATTGGGCAAAGTTTTGGGTAGGGATCCCATGGGACTGGACCGTTGTTGTGAGGCCGCACAGAAGGGTGAGAGAGGAGAGGGGAAAAAGTAAAATCTACCACTGTGAACGACAAATAGTTAGTCCATGTTTGAATGAGAAAAATTAGTTTAGTTGTCATTAAAAATACATTCTTTGGTGTCATCCATATCCCTCATCTTAAGATGAGGCCATTAAACTACTCATCCTAGGTTCAATTGCATTTATTGCCTACCTGTGCCAGACCACCTACACATGGAAATCCCAGAAATATATTGTTGGAATGGAATGCGCACTCTCTCCCTGCAGGGACGCATCTTGCTTACCTAATTCTGGAAAGTATTAGGCGCAGGATGTCAAGAGCCAAGGCTTTGGGATCCCAAAATTGGGGTAACTGCTGGAGTCTAATCAGCTAAAACTGCATAGCTTGCCATTGATATTGCTGTCCAGAAAGCTTTCCTGCTGCTTGTCCAGCTAGGACCACCCTACCCATTAGGGTGGGACTTGAAGGATTAACAGGAGCTGAGTGGGATGACTCCCTACCCCCAGTGACTGCTCTGCCCATCCAGGTCCTGGTGATGAGCCGAGCCGGGCTGTGCTGTCATCAGCAGTGCTCTGGAATACTGCGGACCCACCAGGCTCAGGTACCGGACTAGAGACCGTCACAGAGGGCTGGCGCGATTCCGATATTTCATTGCCAGATATGTCACCTTGGGGCCAGTTCAGGCTGGTCCCTGCTGTGACAAGTCAGGCTGGAGAAGTCGCCGCCAAACTAAATGAAGTGCAATTGGTTTTGTTGGAACGCCTTAGAGTATGAACTGTCAGGGGAGACTGCCCTTCTTTGCCAGTAACACGTTCCTCTTGTTCACTGACAGGTAATGTCATTGACATGTGTAAAGATGGGAATCCCCCCACGTTAAGATGAATGGGAGGGAGGGGTCTTGATGATAAACAAAACTAACCGAGTGACCTCTGTTCAGAGCAGATCAGTTGCTAGTCCCCGGACATTCAGCTCCTAAAACTGGGGCAGTGAGTTCACTCACATTGAGTAAATTATCTTCCCAGCGTGATGGCTGGCTATGCTGCCTGAAGTATGTGAACATACTTAACCTCCAGTAACCTTTCCTTTGTTTACTTTAGTGAATATATTGTAGCTTCTGGCAAAAGGTAGGGATGTCCTTGCAGTGTGCCAGCTCTATATTCAGAAGGGTTTAAGAGTCATATTTCACACACATCCTGAAGTAAAAGAGCTGGCAGGGAATGTGGAAATGGCATGAATGAATAAACGCATGTTAATCTGTTTCAGCCAAGGGCTCACATTAACTGACGCAACATTCTTTATTAACTGATCGAATTATTTTCAAACTGTTTACGACAGAACGGATTAAAGCAGGGTCATTCAGCCAGCCCTTAGAGTAGTCTTTTTTAAATGGATTATCATTTTGACAAGTTTATAGTAATAATAATAATAATCCTTATGATAATTCCTGACAAAGGGATTCAATGATGCTAATAATAATCCTTGCATTTGATATAGGACCTTATCAGTCTTCGAGACATCGCAAAGCGCTTCACAAAATACGCTGTAAAGTGTAGTGACTGTATATTTTGTGGGTGAAACGCAGCAGCCAATTGCGCACAGCAGTGTCCCACAAACAGTCGTGGATCAAGTGACCAAATTATTATTATTTTTGGAAGGAATTATCATCCCCGGAAAAGCGATCCGCCAATCGATTAATAACCAGGTTCCTACTCACTGCTGGGTAAACGGATGTGTGTGGAGTAAGGAAAATTGCTCAATGTTTTGCCCTGCCCAGGAATCGAAGCCAGGAATCGAAGCCATTTGCTTGCGAGGCAAATGCTCTAACCACTGAGCTACATGACTCCTATTTGCCTCTTTTCCAACCATTTCTCTAGTCTGTCAGTATCCTTCTGCAGTTTTATTATTTTCATTCGGTTTCATGGTTTCCACTTCTCTTGGTGATTGGCAAGTGCAAATTCCATGGACTGAATGGCCTCCTGTGCGGTAAATTACCATGATTCTATTTTCACAATTTGCCAATCCATCCAATTTAGTATTGTCAGCAAACTTCAATACAGCCCCAACCCAACCCCCGAGTTCCTCCCTCTTGCCTCGTTCAAGTGTTTCAAGATCCTCTCACTCGTTTTTAAATCCCTTCATGCCCTCGCACCTCCCTACCTCTCCGATCTGCTTACACCCCACTCCACCACCCGCTGTCTCCGCTCAGCTGGCTCCGGCATCCTGTTTGTCCCTCGTCCCCTCTGCTTCACCATTGGTGGCCGTGCCTTCAGCCACTCCACCCCAAAACCCTGAACTCTCTTCCTCATTCCCTCCGCCTTACCCCTCCCTCCCCACCTTCAAATCTTACCTAAAGACCTTCCTTTTTGATCGAGCTAACGGTCACCTCCCCCCTCCCTCGACTCCTGGCTCAGGGTCAGACTCCGCCACTGTCAAGCGCTTTGGGACGCTACCCCGGTTGAAGGGTGCTGCATAAATGCAATTTTTTTTGTTGCAGGCTGTAGCTTTATGTTGGTCTCTGGTTCAGTCGTAGCTCTCAGGTCATAAGCTACGTGATTTATGTTTCTTTTATAATTTCCTGAATTCACTTACACTTGTTATATATATGTATATAATAATAATAATCCTTGCATTTGATATAGCGCTTTTCACGTCGGGAGGACGTCCCAAAGCGCTTATATATATCGCTTATATATATATATATCTGTCTGCTTGTATTGGCATACACACACACACTCATGTGGGCACACTCCCAAACAAAATGGAATCCGTGGAACCGATGAAAAACAGTTAACCATTTTATGTGATTTAAGTAGGATATGGAGTAGTTGAATTTTAATGTCTTAAAGTAATTGACATCAATTTCAGAAGTTAATGATTCCAATCTGTTTTGAACGAAGAATGGCACAGTGGGTAAACACACGCTTGAAATGGTAATATCAGTTTGGGGAAAGAATATCACTATAAAGAAATTGTAGATTAGTTTAATCTTTCTTTTCTTGCTTCTGTACGGTGCTCCCTGACAGGCTCTCTAGTGCACGTCTGTCCGTCTGCCCAGTCAACTAGGGGTACCCCAGGCCTCCATCCTTGGCCCTCTCTTCTTTTCCTCATAGACTCATAGAATTATACAGCACAGAAGGAGGCCATTCGGCACATCGTGTCTGTGCCAGCTCTTTGAAAAGAGTTGTCCAAATTAATCCCACTCCTCCACTCTTTGCCCATAGCCTTGCAAACTCATCTATATGCTCCGTCTTGGCATGTCATCCGCAGACTTCCACATGTATGCAGATGACACACAAATCTACTTTGCCTCCTCCAAGACCAGCTTCAGGTTCCCCTGATGTTCTACCAGCTTGTCTAGGGTCTGGATGAGTGCAGCTGAATGCGGCTCCAATGAAGATATTGATGGGAGCCATACTCCTTGGGTCCCGTCAATGTCTTCACTCCTGCGGATCTGAACTCCTCAACCTTCCTGTGCTCTCCCTCAGAGTCATCAAAAGAGTGTGCAGTCTAGATGTCCTGTTCGACCCCCAGCTGTCCTTTCTCCACCACATCTGGTCCCTGCCCAGGAGTGCCTTCATCCACCTCCGCCACAATGCCCACCACTGACCGTACCTTACCCCAAATGCAGCCGAAACCCTCATACATGCTTTTGTCACCTCCCGCTTGGATTACTCCAATGCACTCCTCGCCTGTCTTTCCAGCTCCATTATTCAAAAAATCCAGCTAATTCAGAACTCTGCTGCCCGCATACTGACCCGAACCAAACTCTGTATCCACATCTCACCCGCTCTGGCTCCCCATCACCAAATGGATCAACTTCAAGATCCTCACACTAGTGTTCAAATCCTTTCCCTGGCACCTCCCTACCTCTCTGACCTCCTCACTCCCCAATCTACCACCCGGCGCCTCCGCTCGACTGGCACTGCCTCCTGCTCGTCCCTCGCACTCACCGCCCCATCATTGGAGTTCGAGTTTCGCCTGAAAAATATACAGTCAATTCACTTTACAGTATATTCTGTGAAGCGCTTTGAGAAGTTGCAATGACGTGATAAGCCGCTATGTCAAATGCAAGGATTATTTTTATTATTATTAATTCGTACGAATTCAAATGAACCACAAATAGCTCCTCCAGCGGGCAAATGGGTAAAGATATTAGCCAGCACAGTGTCAGACCATACAGATAAATGTGTAAGGTCTGTGCTGCGATAGTTGACCGGGGAAAGAGTTGGGACACAATTCAATAACAACTTTCAGAGGAGAATTAGATAGGTAACTTGAAAAGGAAAAACTTGCAAGGATATGGGGAAAAACTAGGGTAGTGGGACTGATTGGGTAACTCTTCTAGAGAGCCGGCACAGGCACGATGGGCCAAATGGCCTCCTTCTGTACTGTAATATACTCTGATTCTGGGTTAGAGAAATGGGAACCAACCATTGTTCCCACTTGTGATTACTATCCCGAGCTGGAAAGTGTGCAGATATCGAATATCCCCAGAAAGCTTTGGAAGCAGAATCAATAGGGATGTTTAAAAGAGAGTTAGATAGATACTTGAGTTGACGAGGTATCAAGGGGTATGTGAAATGCCAGGGCATTGGAATTAAAATATTTGCAAGTATCTAATAAACTAGTGGAACAGACTCAATAGGCGGAATGTATCTATTTTCCTATGTTCTTGTGTTCTTATTATAATAATAATCCTTGCATTTGATACAGCGCCTTATCACATCTTCGAGACATCTCAAAGCGCTTCACAGAATATATTGTAAAGTGAATTGACTGTATATTTTGTGGGCGAAACGCAGCAACCAATTGTGCACAGCAGTGTCCCCCAAACAGTTGTGGATTGAGTGACCCAATTATTATTATTATTTTTCTTTGAAGTGTTTATTAGCCCAAGAAAACGATCAGCCGATTGACTACCCACCAGGTTCCTACTCACTGCTGGGTAAACAGATGTGTGTGGAGTACGGAAACTTGCTCAACGTTTTGCTCTGCCCAGGAATCGAAGCCAGGTCCTCTTGCTTGCGAGGCGAGTGCTCTAACCACTGAGCTACAGGATTCCACAAAAGCACCTTATCATGTCATCGAGATGTTTCAAAGGGCTACCCAGGAATTTACAAATCATATAATACTGAATAATTCTTGTTTTATAGCTGGTTCAGGCTCTTTGCAAGGGCCAATGACTCCACAGTCCACCAACAGCTCAATGACAGAAGACCTGAAGCCCCCAACACCTGTATCAGCACCACACGGGCAGATGACGCAGATCCAGGGGAACAGGTATGAACAGAGTACTACTGAATCCTTTTCTGTCAGCATTACACAAGATCAAATTGGATCAGGCTGAGGAAGTGGGATTGTGGAGCATTACTTTAGCAATAGCCTTACTCTATTGCTAAATGGGTTACCCACAAGAGAATGATCTATTATTTCTCTGTCCCTGTTTAAAACGCAACCTAATAAAGCTTAACAGAATTGTAGCCCACTTAAAGAAATAGGATATTCGAAGGGCAAATGTGTCAATTGCCCTTTTTCACGTGGCTCTTTTATGCAAATAATAGAAAAATTGATTTTTTTCAACTAGTCGTAAAAAAACTAATTTAATTGAAGTGGTGAATCAAGAATTCATTGCACCAAATTGAAAGACAATAAGTGACTTTGAGGCACAGTCTTTCATTTAATAATAATAAATAATATTAATCCTTGCATTTGGTATAGTGCCTTTCAAGTCGGGAGCCCTTTGCAGGATTTACTGTAAAGTATAGTGACTATTTTATAGGCAAACACCTAAGGTAACAAGCAGCAAGGTCCTGTGACCCAAAGTTGAAGAGGGAAAAGGGTCTATGGTGTGAAAAGGTTAATATCGACTTTTTTATTTTATTTCCAAGTGCATGGCAATGTAATAAATGACAGACTACTGTGTTACCTTCTTTTTTAGAAAACTTACAATGAATAACAATGAGTAGTGACCCCGAACAAACTCAGTAATGTCATGTCCAATTAAGGTCCCCCAGTAACGGCCTTTTGACCGTTATTGGATTGCAATGTGTGTCATCTCACAGAACTAATGCTGGACTTCAAGTGTCCCATGTCCCCAGTATTGGTTGGGCCCACTGAATCCCTTCTATTAATCTGAGTGAAATGAGTTCTCAGCAGTCTCTCTATCTGAATGTAAAGGCACATCACAATGATTCTTCAGTTCCACAGGCCATTGATAAATGGTTGTAAGCAGCTTCAAGGGGCATTAGGCTGAATGTCAGGTCAAGCCAGTCCCAATGTTTGACGACCAAAGCTATAACGGTGGAAAGTCTGAATGAAGATTGATGTTTTTGTTTCTATAAAAGTCCTATCTCAACCGTGCTGCTTGTTTCTGGCATAGTATGTCTGACAGAGTGCTTTCTGACGCGTATCAGAAGGAAGATGACACAAACCTCTTGTCAGGGATATAACAGGAGGTACCATTCTTGCTCCACTGCCATTTGATTTCAGGGACTGAAATAAAAACCAGGTAAAACCAAAGCAATTTCCTGACCCTCAGACTTCAGCCTTTCTCTTCTGAATGTAGACCCTCAGCCACTCAAACAAATAAAGAAAAATACTAGATTATAATATAGAATCCTTGCACTTGATACAGCGCCTTATCACGTCTTCGAGGCGCCTCAAAGCGCTTCAGTAAAGTGAATTAATTGACTGCATATTTTGTGGGCGGATCTCAGCAGCCAATTGCTCACAGTAGTGTCCCACAAACAGTAGTGGATTAAGTGATTGATTAATTAATTAACAAACAAACAAACACCGCAAGAGGTATAGTTTTTTTTAAAACTATTATTTCAATTGACATTGAATGCAGTGGAATCCTGAAACTTAGCGGTTAAAGTTGTTAGTCGATTGGCAGATCACTTTTCCAGGTGTAATGATCCCTTAAAAAAAATTAATAATAATTTGGTCACTCAATCCACGACTGTTTGTGGGACACTGCTGTGCTCAATTGGCTGCTGTGTTTCGCCCACAAAATGTACAGTCAATTCGCTTAACAGTATGTTCTGTGAAGCGCTTTGACACATCTCGAAGACGTGATAAAGCGCTATATCAAATGCAAGGATTATTATTAGTATCATTGAATCCCTTTATCAGGAATAACTTCAGTCAGTTCTCAGTGCTATTAAATCTAAACTGCTGGTGTGGGGGGATTGTTGTATGAACAGGAACAATGCAATCAGTGTCCAGGACCCCTTCTCTGATGTTAGTGACCCAGCCTTCCAGAAGAGGACTTCCATGACGCCCAACCCACAGTACCAATCGGGGATCAACATGCCGGAAATGATGGGAAGGATGGGGTACGAACCCAATAAGGACCCATTCGCTGGGATGAGAAAAGGTAACCTGTTCCTTTATTTATCCAATTATGTAACTTACATGGGAGGGAGATGAGGAAAGGCCAAGTAACCAATTGGATTGTTTTGGGATCATTCTGGTGTCTTGACACACGTAGAAACCCATCACCGTGCTTAAGAGCATCCAAACCAAGCTGAGAATCCCACCTACACATGGAAATCCCAGAGATAGATAATGGAATGCACACTCTCTCCCTGGAGGGACACATCTTGTTTACCTAATTCCGGAAAGTATTAGGCACAGGTTGGCAAGAACCAAGGTTTGGGGACCCCAGAGTGTATGTTGGGGTAACTGCTGGAGTCTAACCAGATAAAACCACAGAGCTTGCCATTGATATCTCTGTCTGGCAAGCTTTCCCGCTGCTTGTCCAGCTAGGACCACCCTACCTTTTAGGGCTTTGGTTTGCAGGGTTAGTAGCAGCTGAGTGGGATGACTCCCTGCCCCCAGTGACTGGTCTGCCCTTCCAGGTCCTCGTGATGAGCCAGGCTGGGCTGTGCTGTCATCAGTAGCACCCTGGAATACTGTTGACGGGCCTGGCTCAGGAATTGAACTTGGGACCGTCACAGAGGCCTGGCTCGATTCTGACATTACATTGCCAGGCATGTCATCTTGGGACCATTTCAGCTCCAAGGAGACACATCTTATTGGATTGAACTGTCATGCATGAATTCATACGTCATGCAGAGACAGAGAGATCACATCTAATGATGCAGAGAGCTTCCTATACTATTAGTAAGAGTTAAATCTACTATAATAACATAAATCCTTCCCCCCTTCTATTTGTCTGAAATGGATTGATTCATTGTGACTGGTTGAAGACTGAGGGATAATCCATCGCTAATTGGAGCTGTTTGAAAATCAAAAAATCTGCATTCCTCCACAAACGCAAGGACTTAAAAATTGGAATATTGGAAAGTCACAGAGATGGCACGAGCCTAGGAAGGGAGTCATAAGAAAAGCGTTGTGCATTTTGTCTTTCCTAGTCTTCTGTAGGATTCTTGCCCTTCACCCTCTTTCCTAGGGAGATGGATGCATCTGTTCTACCTATTTGTTTGCATTTGCAAGCTTTCTGCAGGAAAATAACCTTATTAATCAGTTCTATTGTGATGTTTCATGTCTTGGTTCTGCAGGACAACTTGCATCTTCTCCCTCCCATTCCCATCCCACTAATATTTTTTAATTTCAATTCTGAGACTTACATTGGGGCATATTGCAATCTTCCCGGGATTCTGCTTTTCTTCGCAAAACAATGTGCTGCACAAAATCATAACCATTTCAATCACAGAGGAAATATTAATGGAATTCCACAATGCAAACAGGTGTGATGGCATGCTGTTGAGAATGCTGTAGGAAGTCAACAACAATAACTTGCATTTATATGGCGCGCCTCACGTAGGATAGCGTCCCAGCGCTCTTGACAGTAGTGGCGCACGACACCGAGCCGGTGGGAGGTGACCGTAGGCACAGTCGAAGAGGAAGGTCTTCAGGCGTGATCTGAAGATGGGGAAGGAAGGGGCAAGGTAGCGGCACAGAGGGAGAGTGTTCCATAGTTTTGGGGCGTAGTGGCTGAGAGGAAATGGCACTGGCTCTGATCATAATACTTCAAACTTCCTTGAATATGAATGTTTTTGCTCGAGGACCAAGGGATGCCAATGTGGAAAGTGCGTAACATACAGCAGGCAGCCTAACTGCCGTGCTATACTGTTTTGTGGAATTCTATGTAATTGTGACAAATAGGTCTTTTTTATTTTGAGTCTATGTTGTGTGCTGTGTCAAACGTCTGCCAAAATATGGAAAGTTGAATTGGCATAAAATAAGGTTTTATTCTGTCCGTCTTCTGTAACAGAAGTTAGACAATATCCAGTGTTTTCACTGCTTGTTCTACTGTGATGGATTATTTGTTAGGTACTAAGATTAATTTATTCTATCCTAGTGCCTGGGAGTAATGACCCCTTTATGCCTCCTGGAGTGATGCCTAATAGTGGGATGCAGGATCTGTACAACCGTACGCCATCTGCAGCAATGGCCAACATGAGCATGGGCCAAAGGCAGCAGTACACTTATGGACCTGGCTATGATAGAAGGTAAATGACATCTTTAATTCTGCACAATTTTATATGATTGATTTTTAACAAAAAAAGTGTTGCACTCATCAAAGTGGGAGATGTGGACGCAACAGATTCCATTTTCCATTTAAAACTTTTCCAATTTTATCAACTTAGTTTTAGCCTTATACATTCCCAGGGTGGGTTTTGTTAACAGCAACAACTTGCATTTACACAGCGCCCCTCACATAGGGTAGGGACCCAGAGCACTTGACAGTGACAGAGCACGATGCTGAGCCGGGGGAGTGGGGAGATAACAGTGGGCACGGTCGAAGAGGAGGCGTGACCTGAAAATGGAGAAGGAAGGGGCAAGGTGGAGGGATAGAGGAAGAGTGTTCCAGAGTTTCGGGACACAGTGGCTGAAAGCATGGCCAATGATGATGGAAGGGAGGGCACGAGGGACATGCAGGAGGCCGGAGTCAGTCGAGTGGAGGTAGTGGGTTGAGGGTAAACAGGTCGGAGAGTTAGGGAGGTGCAAGGGTATGAAGGGATTTGAAAACAAGTGTGAGGATCTTGAAATCGATCCATTCAGCCATAGGGAGCCAGTGGAGCCTGGCTAGGACTGGTGTAATGGCTAAGTGAAGCTTATTGCAGAGGAAAGCTTCTGGGAACCAGCCTTGTTAGAGCTGGATTTATGATGCTATTAGTTCGAATCGAATTAAAAAGTGAATGTTCAAGCCTCCAGTTCAGACAAGACAAAACATTAATGCAGTGGCATCAATATTCCCTGCCACCCCCATTATAACACAGTGTTTTGAGTCCATAATATCAAATCCCGCTTTACAACAGATCCCTCAATAGAAAAATCAGTCATTCCCACGTCATCACGGACTTGGCTTCTGGTGCAGACAGATTGGCCAACTTCCTGCACTGCCATGCAGCACACAGAATTCTTGCCGAAGGGTAACATACCTCTGGTGAACCCGGTTCCCCAAGGGCACCAGCTTTACAAGCTGACTCGCACTCCAGTGAGACGTGTTACAACAGAGTCAGCCTGGGTTGAAACCATCCCAATTCAGGATGTGCATCACTGCCAACTGAATGTTTGTGGATGGACTCTACGACCTATTGCTTCATTGTGAGCCAGGTTCGGTGAGCCTGTTCTTCCCCTCCCCCCTCACTAATTATAAAATGTGGAGTCCTGCAGCTTTGTGGTTAGAGCACTCGCTTTGCAATCTGGGTTTGATAACCGGGCAGGGCAAAACATTGAGCAAATTTCCTTGCTCCACACGCCTCTGTTTACCTAGTATGTAGGAACACATTTTTTAGTTGATTGGCGGATTGCTTTTGAAGGGGTAATAATCCCTTAAAAAAATAATAATAATAATAATAATAATGTGGTCATTCAATCCATGACTATTTGTGGGACACTGCTGTGTGCAATTCTCTGCCGCATTTCGCCTACATTTCACTTTATAGTATACTTTGTGAAGCGCTTTGAGACGTCTCGAAGACGCGTTAAGGTGCTGTATCCAATGCAATTATTATTATTGTTGTTATGAATCCACAACAGTTTAAATGGAAATACTGAGATAAATTTACTGATACTATGGAATGGAGAAAGGAGAAATCGTTCAATCTATTCATGATGGCCGCATTGTCTTCTGTTCGTGTGTGGATTTTATAGAGACTATTCAGCGCATCATATCTGTGCTACCTGTTTGTCTCAATTGCTTCTTTGTTTTAATTCCATTTTCCAGTCCTTTCCCAAATCCCTTGATAATTTCACTGCTCAGGTGCTTTTTCAGTTTCCTTTTATATGATTCTATTGATCCACCCTTAATAGCTCCTAACATTCATTACAGTAATAACATTCATTATCATATATTTCAACAATAACAATAAATTACATTTGTATATCGCCTTTCATGTCAGGAGGATGTCCCAAGGTACTGAACAGTCAGGGATTTGCACCCGAGCAGGGGTTTGGAATCAGGAGAGGTGGAGGGCAGGGAAGGTAGGGCAGGAGAGTGGCCGAAGGCACGGTCAAAGAAGAAGGTCTTGATATGTGCCTTGAAGGAGGCAAGAGAAGGAGCAAGATGAAGGGACTATGGGATGGAGTTCTAAAAGGGTGGGGGCAGAGACGTTGAAGGCCCGACCGCCGATGGTGGGGTGGAGGACGTGAAGCAAGCCGGAACCCGCTAAGCAGAGGGAGCAGACAGGTTGGTATGGGGTTGGCAGGTTATTATTATTTCACAATAATGTTTACATGCATCAAAGAAGCACAATTCTCCAGCGATCTTACATACCCAAAGTAAAACTATTGTTTTTGTTTTAGGCCTGAGCATGGGATGGGTCCTGAAGGCAGTATGGGACCTCCAGGAGGTCAGTCTAACGTGGTGCCTTCCAGCAATGACCCGAGCATGTACTCACCAAATCGTTACCCTCCACAACAAAGGTAACCAAGAACAAGCAGCATCTTTCTCCCATAGGGACAGCTATGACAGATTATTTTTCATTGGGTTTTTGTGCATCGAGGAACCAATGTATTTTATGTAAATCCTGTAGCTTAGCGATTAAAGCACTCGCCTCGCAAGCGAGAGGACGTTGGTTCGATTCCCAGGCAGGGAGAAACGATAGGCAAGTCTCCTTGCTCCACACACCTCTGTTTACCTAGCAGTCAGTAGGAACCCAGTTGTTAGTCGATTGGCAGATCACTTTTCCAGGGATAATAATCCCTTCACAAAATAGCAAATAAATAAATAAGAATAATTTGGTCGCTCAATCCATGACTGTTTGTGGGACACCTCTGTATGCAATTGGCTGCAATTGTTTTGTCCACAAAATATACAGTCAATTCACTTTACAGTATATTCTGTGAAGCGCTTTGAGATGTCTCAAAGACGTGATAAGGTGTTATATCAAATGCAAGGATTATTATTATTAATGACTCTCTGACCCTTTATCGGAGTGACAATCCTCCTGAAACAGGTCATTGAATTTTAATAGCTAGAGAACAGCTGATCCACTGGATGTCTTCTGCAGTTTCAACTAAGATGAACTGTGATTTGGGGAATGCTAATCCAAATGGGGGGGGTGAGGAGGTTGCTCTGCAGCTTCTCATAAATCACGTAGTATTTTCCAAAAGCCCAGTCGTTAGGCATTTTTATTCAGCTTGTGGCTATGTACAAGGCTGCAAAGCAATGGGGGTGGGCCGTTCTTACCAATGCTGCTGTTTGCCACATACATCTGTTGCTGTGTGTTGCAAGCTGATATTTAAATGAAATTGTGCACAGTATATTGCGTTTCAATTAGCCTTAAATGTCAAGAGCTTTTCGTTCCCATCAGCTGGGCTTTTATTCAAAGAATCAACCAGCATACCACTGCAACTAACTACTTATTCTAATATTCGCTATCACACAGATAGAGACACCTTTAACGCTAACAAAACTGTATATGGGATACACAGCAACACATCAGCAGTTATCACGTTATACGGCTTCACTGAATTCCACTCTAAATAACTCATTCACACAATAACTCTTTTACCTGTCAGCACGGGTTGATGTGAAGGTAAAATCCGATCTATAAATATTAATTTTACAAAACCATTGAGGCCTTATTTGTCAGGCGCTCATTGGTAAGATGATTAATGAGGCTCGGTGGTTTCATTGACATGACGGGTGACAAATCAGCCCCCGCACAGGCCTGCTTGTTTTATCAAGTCCAGCGAAGATTGAGCCCTTTGCCGAGAGATGTAGACTGGTATAATGAGAGTGATCTGTTACAGGCACGATCCCTATGGACAGCAGTACCCAGGCCAAGGCCCTCCCTCGGGACAGCCACCATATGGAAGTCATCAGCCTGGAATGTATCCTCAGCAGCAGGTAACAGCAGCTTGTCAGCTTCGTTTAACATCCAACTTTCGGGAGCTTCCACTTACCAGAGTTCCTATTTGTAAAATCAAATTCATTACATGCAGTAGTTGTATTAATATTGTGGAGTCCTGTAGCTCAGTGGTTAGAGCATTCGCCTTGCAAATAAAAGAACCCGGGTTCGATTGCCCGGAAGGGCGAAACGTTGGGAAAGCTTCCCTCTTCTACAAGCCTCTGTTTACCTGGCAGTAAGTAGGAACCCGGTTGTTAGTCCATTGGCAGATCGCTTTTCCTTCCAATTTAAAAAATAATAATAATAATTTGGTCACTCGATCCACAACTGTTTGTGGGACACTGCTCTGCGCAATTGGCTGCTGCGTTTCACCATACATTCAATTCACTTCACATTCTGTGAAGCACTTTGAGACGACTCGAATACGTGATGAGGCGCTTTATCAAATGCAAGGATTATTATACTGTTATTACCTCTGTAGTTTTTAAATAATACAACCCCGGGTCACTGCAGTTAACACACTACCTCACCTCTCTAAAGCAGCTCATTTTTCCGTTAGCTGAGTTTGCATTTCTTTGATATTTTGTCAGGTACCTGCTTTTTTCCTCGAGTGCAATTGGATCTTAATCCAGATTTTATTCAGGTTAAACGACACATTAAAATTAACATGAAAGGTGATCGCTTGCTACCCGTGTGTCCCGAAGTGTTTTGTAACTATCACCTCCTTCCTTTGCAGAACTATAAACGTCCCATGGAGGGCATGTACGGTCCTCCACCAAAGCGTCATGAGAATGACATGTACAACATGCAGTACAGCAGCCAGCAACAGGAAATGTACAATCAATATGGAAACACCTATTCTGGACCAGACAGGAGGTCCATGCAAAGCCAATACCCATTGACATACAACAGAGACAGGATCCAGGGTCCAGTTTCCATGCAACAGCATACAATACCACCCCAAATGATTGGAGGGCCAATGCAAGCAGCCTCAACCGAAGTGCCACAGCAGGGCATGTGGCAGTCACGGAATGATATGCCTTACCCTTACCCCAATAGACAAGGCCCTGGAGCACCTCCGCAAGCATCACCATATACAGGGATGAATCGCACTGATGAGATGATCTTACCCGACCAGAGAATGAATCATGAAGGTCAATGGCCTTCCCACGTGAATCAGCGCCAGTCTTCATACATGTCTCCTTCAGCCTCCATGCCTCCGATCACACGACCTCCGCAGTCCTCCTATCAGACACCTCCTTCGATGCCAAACCACATCTCCAGGGCTCCCAGCCCAGCGCCTTTCCAGCGCTCGCTAGAAAATCGAATGTCCCCCAACAAGACGCCCTATATGTCATCGATCAAGATGCAGAAAGTTGGTCCTCCAGTCCCGGCCTCACACGTTGCTGTTCAACATCAACCACCACCAATAAGGCGGGAAATCACCTTCCCTCCAGGATCAGTGGAGGCAACGCCGCCAATGTTAAAACCCAGACGAAAACTTACCTCAAAAGACACTGGTAGGTAAATTTAATAAAAGCCATTTACACTGAATGAAGTTTTGATATAAGGAAACAATTATATCAGTTCTTGTGCTTCTCAGTATTTTTGGTGACTCATTATAAAATAAATGACTGCATATTGCATTCCAGATTTTCAGAATCTTTATATATGGTTGAATGAAAGGGTTTTATTTTAGAGAGAGAGTGTAATTGCTGAAAGAAGTTATGCCAGGGAATCAAAAGTACTGACTGCTTTTTACGTGCACCCTTCTTTTTTAAAAGCCTGAACCGAATAATATCAATAATGTATTTGACCGGACTTGCTATTGTGTGTGTTCGTGCGTGCGTGCATTTGTTCATATTTAAGAAAAGAGAGCGGGGTGGTGGGGGGGTGTTGGGAAGGGAGAGATACAGTTGTCCCTGACTACAGAAGAAACATTAGCATTACAAGCACAAATAGTCACTTTTTATTCACTCTCTCCAACAAGCTACCATTTTGAATCTATGACTTAGCTGAGAGGGGTAACACTAGAAGTTGAAGTTCAGAAGTGTATGCAGTGGGTTACTCAGGGTTTAAGCGCTCCATGACACTACCCCGTGTGAAAGGGTCCAGTATAAATGCAAGTTGTTGTTTATGGAGCATCTAAAGCTGAAAAGTATGAGCTGTGGATGGAGATTTTCCCAAATCAAAGTCTGTTAAATAATTGATGCCACTTGGGCCTGAATGCAGTTTCATGCCATGAATTCTGTTGACATGATACCACATTATCCTCACTGTCACTTACTCCTCCAAAGAAGATTGTTAATGCCTTTGGCATTATTGATTTACATGAACACGGGAAATGTTTTTAAAAAATTCTGTTACTCTATTGTTTCCATCATACACGTTATATACCAAGTTGTTGTGGGCAAATAATTCTGACTCCTGACGTATTATAAAATCAATGTCCCGCATTCCCATGATTTGACTTGGATCACACCAGTGTTTCAGCTGCAAGCACATGAATTTACTCTTTGCACCAGAATTGATCCATATTTTGGATTGTACTGTGAATGATAGTGATTAGTATAAAGCTGGTTGCACCAGTTTCTGTAGCCACACAGTCAGGACACTGGTTCTGGGTGGCTGTTTTTTGGCGGATCTCCACTCCCTTCAGGTTTGCGCTGGTATTCTGTTCCCCCACCCCTCAAATTTGCCACCCAGTTTTTGTTAAAAAAGCAGTTAGGATTTTTTTGGAACAATCTAACACGTGTTATTTCTTTGTGTTTAGTTCTTAGCAATAAAGTGAAAAAATGTAGGTTGGCAGTAAAATGGTTTTCGATATCACCAATCAACCCCCGCAATTTCCTGGAAGTTTTTTGCAAACGCCCCGCAATTTAGAGCAAATAGTTCCGCAATTTTCTATTGGTCCATTCATTGCCAGCAACTGACCCCCTTGAATCAGTGGAGAGCAGCGTGAGTTCTTTGAGTCAATGCCACGAGTGGAAGTTATTCCATTTCCTCGGCCTGTGTGTGAGAGACGGGTCTTGGTGTCTAGAAAGATTTGGATATGTTTACTGCTTGTACATGAGAGAGTTTGTTTATTCTGGGGACTTCAACTTTTTGGCAGCAACTCCAGCAAACGTTTGAAGAGTGGATTGTCACTTTGGTCAGTGCATAACTTAGTCAGAGGTGTGAGGGAATACAGGGCTTGGGTTACCTGGGTTTGATGCAATAAAATAAACTTTTGATTGAAAGTTTAGCTCAATTTCAGGTGCTGCATGTAAGACTTGTATCCTAGACTTCTAGCAGAAGCTCATTGATGTTGCACTGACTTAATTGTTGACTCGAAATCAAATCAGTGTGCTAAAACAGTGCTGATGGCTCCGCTTCAAGTGTTTCAACACCATTACCTCAGCAAAATCACAGCATTAAACAGTTTAGTGTTGCTCATGTCAGCTAACAAGGTGCCCTGATTTGTGGCAGAGAAGATTGGTTGACACAATGATTTGGTTACAAGCTATTTCGGTTGCAGAAATACAAGAAATCAATTGTGAATGACTCAAGTGCTGGGTTTACTCAGCTGCACTGTGACAAACACTTAAAAGGCAGCACTGACTCGGAAGCATTGCTCTTTTATATTTCAAAATCCTGCCATTTTCTGGAGGCCTGAAGCTCAGTGGTTAGAGCACTCACCTTGTTCGATTCCCAGACTGGGTGAAATGTTCGGCATGTTACTCCACACGCCTGTTTACCTAGCAGTTGTTAGTCAATTGGCAAATCACTTCTCCGGGGGTAATAACCCCTCCAAATTAATTTTTTAAAAATAATTTGGTCACTCAATCCATAATTATTTGTGGCCCACAAAATATACGGTCAATTCACTTAATAGTATATTCCGTAAAGAGCTTTGAGGTATCTCGAAGACGTGATAAGGCGCTGTATCAAATTCAAGGATTATTATTATATGTGTGCAAGGAGGGGAATAAACATCAGTAGATCCACAAACGTGCAAAATGTGTGATTTAAGCACACAATATAGACTCAGTACATTCACCTTTCTGAATGACAGTCACTCCATTTTTTTTAGGGCTTTGGCTTTGCAGCGTTAACAGGAGCTGAGTGGGATGACTTCCAGGTCCTGCTGATGAGCCAGACTGGGCTGTGCTGTTATCAGCAGTGCCCTGGAATACTGGAGACCTGCCTGGCTCAGGAACCGGACTAGAGACCGTCACAGAGGGCTGGCTCGACTCCGACTTTCCATTGCCAGACATGTCACCTTAGAGCCAGTTCAGCTCCAAAGAGACCCCACTTAAGCATGATCTACTTTGATATGTTGCTTTTTGTCATGTAAAAACATTCCATATATTTAAATGATGGTTCGCTTCACGTTTGGGTTATCATAAATATAATTTCTCATGGGGCCTCTTATTTTAACGGGTTCCCTGAATGTCAGTTACATTTTATTCTTGAGGAACTACATACGGGTGTTGGTAAGAGATGATTTCTGATGTGTTTCTGATGTTTGCAGGAGCCCCAGAGGCCTGGCGTGTTATGATGTCCCTCAAATCTGGTCTTCTGGCTGAAAGCACTTGGGCTCTGGACACCATCAACATCTTACTGTACGATGACAGCACTGTAGCCACATTTAACCTCTCTCAGGTACACCAGCTGCTTTGTAATTGTATTTTCCCCCTACCTTCCCTGCCCTCCACCTCTCCTGATCCCAACCGCCTGCTCAGGTCCAAATCTCTGACTGTCCAGCACCTTGGAACGTTGTCTCGACATGAACATAAGAATTAGGAGCAGGAGTAGGCCATTCAGCCCCTCGAGCCTGCCCCGCCATTCGATAAGATCGTGGCTGATCTTCAGACCCAACTCTAATTACCTGCCCTATCCCCATATCCCCTAATCCCTCTATTTTTTAAAACTCTCTCAGTCTCAGCCTTGAAGATGTTCAAGGACTGAGCATCTACAGCCCTCTGGGGTAGTGAATTCCATAAATTCACTGCCCTCTGAGTGAAGAAATGTTTCCTCAACTCTGTTCTAAAAGGCTGACCCTTAATTTTAAGACTGTGACCCCTGGTTATAGATTCTCCTACCAGGGGAAACAGACCCTCAGTGTCTACTTTATCCAACCCTTTAAGACTCTTATATGTTTCAATAAGATCTCCCCTAATTCTTTTGTACTCCAGAAAATATAGCCCTAGTTTATTCAGCTTATCCTCATAGGTCAGTCCCCTCATCCCAAGAACTAACCTCGTGAATCTACACCCCCTCTAGGGCAAGTATGTCCTTTTTTAAATAAGGAGACCAAAACTGCACACAATACTCTAGGTGTGGTCTCACCAAGGCCCTATACAGTTGCAGCAAGACTTCCCTACTCTTGTACTCTAAACCTTTTGCAATGAACGCTAACATGCCATTCGCCTTCTTAGTTGCTGCTGCACCTGCAAACTAACTTTTTGAGACTGGTGTACAAGGACACCCAAACATTATCTAATCTCTTCCCCTCTAGAAAATAATCTGTTTTTCTATGTTTTCTACCTAGGTGAATAACTTCACACTTCCCCACATTAAATTCCATCTGCCACCTACTCGCCCACTCCCCTCGCCTATCTATATCCGATTGCAATCTTTTTGCATCATCCTCAGAGCTTACTTTCCCACTTAGTTTAGTGTCATCCGCAAATTTAGATACGTTACATTCAATGTCCTCGTCCAGATCGTTGATGTAAATTGTAAATAGCTGAGGCCCAAGCACTGATCCTTGTGGCACTCCACTAGTCACATCCTGCCAATTCGAGAATGACCCGTTTATCCCTACTCTCTGTTTTCTACCCGTTAGCCACTCTTCAATCCATGCTAATATGTTCCCATTAATCCCGTGGGCCTTAACCTTGTGCAATAGCCTTTTGTGTGGCACTTTGTCAAATGCCTTCTTAAAATCTAAATATACTACATCTACTGGTTCCCCCCTATCTAACCTGCTAGATACATCTTCAAAAAACTCTAAAAGATTAGTTAAGCATGACTTCCCTTTTGTAAAGCCATGTTGACTCTGCCTAATCTTGTTATGGTCTTCCAGGAATCCCATAACAACATCTTTAATTAAGGACTCAAGAATTTTCCCTACCACTGATGTCAGACTAACTGGTCTATAGTTCCCCATCTTTTCTCTCCAACCCTTCTTAAATAGTGGTGTTACGTTTGCAATCTTCAAATCAATGGGAACCGTTCCAGAATCCAGAGAATTTTGGAAGATCAAAGACAAGCCATCCACTATCTCCGTAGCCACCTCTTTTAAAACCCGAGGATGTAGGCCATGAGGTCCAGGAGATTTATCAGTTTTAAGACCTGACAATTTACCTAAAACCATTTCTTTACTAATATTAATTTCTCCAAGTTGCTCACTAATATTGTCTTCTTGGTTCCCCTCTATTCTTGGTAGGTTTTCAGTGTCTTCTAAGGTGAAGACAGTAGCAAAGTACTTGTTTAATGACTCTGCCATGTCTTTGTCCCCTACTATAATTCCCCCCATCTCTGCCTGTAACGGACCCACATTTACCTTCGACAGCCTCTTCCTCTTATATTTATAAAAACTCTTGTAATCTGTCTTTATGTTCTTCGCTAGTTTGCCCTCATATTCCATTTCTCCCTCTTAATCACTTTTTTGGTTCTTCTTTGTTGATTCCTAAAGTTCTCCCAGTCCTCATCTTAGCTGTTTTATAGGCTTCTTCCTTTAACTTTATACTTTCCCTAACTGCTCTAGTTAGCCACGGTTGGGCCACCTTTCTCATGGCATTCTTATTCCTCAAAGGAATACGTGTTCGCTGGGAATTTTGCACTATCTCCATAAAAGGCGCTGTACACATGTAATTTGTTTTTGTTGAAATTGTAAAATAAAAAGATATAGTGAATCAAATGGAACTCCTCAATAGCATGAACAGTATCTACAGTACACATGTCAAGGCATGTACCTTTGCAGTTTAAATCATTGGCAGTATTTCTACTGAATAAATTGCTGAGAACCAGCAATCACTGGCCAGGAGAGAATTGTATCCAGTAGCAATAACTAGAAGAGGAAAGCTGAACCTCTTCAGACAAGACTGAATGTTTCCTTCACTTCTTCCATTTATTACTGGCTCATGTTTCATCCCATTCCGTCATTCTGAATTTATAGTTTATGTTGCCATCTCCAGACTAATGCCATTACTGACTCTGCTAAACCCATACTTAAAGTGAGCAGTTAATATTTTACAGAACAGATATTATGTGGCTGATTTTATACCCATATGCTTATAATAAGGAACATACATCACCTGGTAACAGTTTTGCCCACAATATATACAGTCAATTCACTTTATAGTATAATCTGTGAAGCTCTTTTGAGATGTCTCGAAGACGTGGTAAGGCGCTATATCAAATGCAGGGTTATTTATTATTATTTTAATACAACGTTTACGAATGAGATTTCCATTCTGCTCCTTGAGCAAGGCCTACATGCAACTAAAACTCTGACAAAGTAATGCATCAAGTTTTTTTTTCTTTTGGAAGCACTCATAACAGTAGCAGATTAGAATTTTTTTAAGTCCCTAACATGATAGGTAACCCATCTTCAGAGATTACTCATTGTATTTTATTGTATGACAAAGATGATTTGATGCCAAAATGTCTGCCTGAGTTGAGTCTTGATGATAATTCCTGTCAGTCACTATAGCACTCTGTTTCTCTCCCTGTACATCTTTGTGTTTTCATAATCCTCTGGTATGGACACGGTACAATGAGTGGTGTGCACATTTGATAACCTACCATTAACTAGTATTTTTGAGTTTCAGTTTATTAGTTCAGTAATGAACATAAATACTGGACTGAAAATGTAACGTGAATGAGCTGCAGTTCATTGACCATGACAGTAACTTATGGCCCTCAAACATGCTGACGGCCTGTTTAACCAGCAAGTCGTACTGTTTTTATAATTTAATATACAGGAATATTCAGTGAATTACTTCAGTAGTCACTGAAATAATTAATAAGTAAGTGAATAAATAAGTAATCACTGAGAGAGAGGGGGAGAGTGACTGAGAGAGAGAGAGACTGAGTGAGAGAGACTGAGATATATAGGCAGAGGCATGTGGAATGGGAAGACTTGCCTTGGATTTTGTACTTAGCTAGAGGACCTGGGTTCGATTCCCGGGCAGGGCGAAATATTAGGCAAGTTTCCTTACTCCGCACGACTCCGTTTACTAAGTAATAAGTAGGAGCCTGGTTGTTAGTCAATTGCAGGATCACTTTCTGGGAGTAATAATCTCCCAAAAAACAATCATAATAATAATTATCAGGTAACTGAATACAATACAAAATCACATTTGTAAAGTGCCTTTCACATCGAGAGATCGTCCCAATCCATGACTGTTTGTGGGACACAGCTTTGCTCAATTGGCTGACGTTCGGCAAATGTCCTTACTCCAAACGCCTCTGTTTATGTAGCAGTAAGTAGGAACCCAGTTGTTAGTTGATTGGCAGATCACTTTTGCGAGGGTAATAATTCCTTCAAAATAAATATAATAAAAATTTGGTCACTTAATCCACAGCTGTTTGTGGGACACTGCTGTGCGTAATTGGCTGCCGCGTTTTGCCCACAAAATATACAGTCACTACACTTTACAGTATATAATCGGTGAAGCGCTTTGAGACGTCTCAATGACGTGATAAGGCGCTATATCAAATGCAATTATAGCAATCAATGCAGCCCACTAATATTAACGTAGGATGATTTTAAAATGCATTCTTTTTACACTTCCATTAAATTTCAGACTAACGATTCCCCACCCCAGTGTGTCCTCAGTCTTGCCTGCTCCTCCGCCCAGCAGGACCCCAGTGAGGCAGGGACACCTGTACCATTTAAATCTTCTAATAAGATGCAAAATAATGCTCCCCCGTTAGAATATGAAAAACAATATTAGTATTAACTCCGTTTCAAACCTCTGACAGAAGCTTCAAGCCACTTGTGGAAGAGCATTGCAGCATCTTGAAATGCCCTGAATCCATCAGTGAATTTCACAGGTTTCCGAGCAATTCTTCAGAGATAAACTTCTCAGATATTTCTAAAGTTTTTCTTTGATCATGCCTTCAGCTCCCCTCTCGACTCTCTACCCCCTCCTCGCTCCCTCCCTTCCCTCCCCTCACCCTGACCATTTCCCCCCTGCTCGGGTCCTGACCCAATGGTCCAGCGCCTTGGGACGTCCTCCCGACGTGAAAGGCGCTCTATAAATGAAATCTTATTGTTGTTGTTATAAAGTCCTGGATCACTTTTTTTTCCCAAAATGCCAATGATTTGAATTTTGACTTTTTAACAGGTGNTTTTTTTTGCTAAACATAACAGTCGGTGATCAATGAGAGAATTCTATTCCCATCCAACAATGACCTGTTTCTTATCAGTAAAGCTTAGTAATCACCCAGTGCTTGGAAACGTAATGACCCTTGTTTCTGTTTTTTTGCAACAGTTGTCAGGGTTCTTGGAGCTTTTGGTGGAGTATTTCAGAAGATGCTTGATAGAAATATTTGGAATATTAAAGGAATACGAGGTTGGGGATCCACGTCAGAAAGCTCTCCTGGATCCAGATGCATTTCAGAAGGATGATGACAGCCTTAGTGAGGACGAGATGGGGAAAGAGGAGGAAGAGGACGATATTGATGATGAAGATGAGGACGAGGAGGAGGGAGACGGCAGATCATTGAGCGAGGAGAACCGAGTCGCCTTTGCAACGAGCGTTGCACAATCCGGTGACGAAAAGCCAAAACAAGCCAGTAAATTTGACCGGCTTCCATTGAAGATCATGAAGAAGAAGGATCTCTTTGTGGTTGACCGCTCGAGTAAGCTTGGCCGCGTTCAACAGTTTGACAGTGGACTGCTTCACTGGCAAATCGGTGGGGGTGACACAACAGAGCACATCCAAACCCATTTTGAGAGCAAGATGGAATTGCCGTCACGCAAGAGAGCTGTAGGGTGTTCAAATCCTCCAAACAAAGAGAGGAAAACCAGGGAACATGGGGACAAGGAAACGGTGAATGCAGAAGAGCAGAGAGAGAAGAGTATAACAGCGACTATAGATGATGTATTGTCAGCTCGTCAGGGAGCCTTGTCAGAAGAGCATTCCAACGACTCAGCTCCCGTCACAGAAGGCAGTAATTTCCCCTTTCGCATCCACCAAGCAAAAAACCACAAAAATATAAAATTATTGGAGGATGAGCCTTGCAGCCGTGACGAGACGCCGTTGTGCTCGATCTCTGGTTGGCAGGACTCCTTGGCAAAGCGCTGTATCTGTGTGTCAAATATAGTTCGTAGCTTGTCTTTCGTGCCTGGCAATGATGCTGAGATGTCCAAGCACTCGGGCCTCATACTGATCCTGGGAAAGCTGATCTTGCTTCATCACACACATCCGGAGAGGAAACGGGCACCACAGACGTATGAGAAGGAGGAGGAGGAGGACGATGGAGTGGCCTGCAACAAGGATGAATGGTGGTGGGACTGCCTTGAGGTTTTACGAGAGAACACCTTAGTTACGTTAGCCAACATTTCTGGGCAGCTAGACCTGTCTATATACCCAGAGAGCATTTGTTTGCCAATTTTGGATGGTTTGCTACACTGGATGGTATGTCCCTCTGCAGAAGCCCAGGATACTTTCCCAACAGTGGGACTTAATTCATTCCTCTCACCGCAGAGACTTGTGTTGGAGACCTTGTGTAAACTCAGCATCCAGGACAATAATGTGGATCTCATCTTGGCTACCGCCCCTTTCAGCCGTCAGGAGAAATTGTACGCTACTCTGGTTAGATACGTGGGAGATCGGAGAATCTCAGTCTGCCGAGAGATGTCAGTGGCTCTGTTGTCAAACCTTGCCCAGGGGGACACGTTAGTGGCGAGGGCTGTTTCTGTGCAAAAGGGAAGCATCAGCAACCTGATAAGTTTCCTTGAGGATGGCCTCACAGTGGCCCAGCTTCAGCACAGTCAGCCAAACCTGATGCACATGCAGCCCATTGAGCCAACAAGCGTGGACATGATGTGTAGGGCAGCCAAGGCCCTGCTGGCTATGGCTAGAGTAGAAGAGAACCACTCGGAATTTGTTTTATACGAGGGCCGCTTGCTAGATATCTCAATATCATCTGTTCTGAACTCTATGGTTGCATCAGTCATTTGTGATGTTCTGTTCATGATTGGTCAGTTATGACAGAAGTGGGAAGCCAAGCATGTATGAGAGGAGACAAAGAAGTTACATTCGATTGGCTATTTCTGTTCTTTATTTATCCAACAACAACAAAAAATAATCTTTGCTCCTCTGCCTCATTTACTAAGGAAATTGGGCATTTAAAAACACAAAACAAATTTAATCTGGACAAATATAAGATGGAAATAAATATTTGCTGTCTATGTGTGTAAGTACTTTTTAATTTTTTTTAACCAAAGTTGCTGTCCAGTACATCCGACGGATTTACCTTGATCCCGACATTCTTTCCCTTCGGGGGTGTTTCTTTCATGTTTGTATGATATTTTTGGAAGCAAAAAAAAAGGTGAATATTGAAAACGTGGCAAAACATTGTACAATTATGCTTTACCACTTAAAAAATAGAAAAAGGAAAAAAAAGCACTGAAATAATTTTGAAATATGTACACACCACACACAGAAAGCAAGCGCTGTGCAATAGAATTTAGTGATCTAGGTGTAGGGGATCAACAGAGGTGTGCATAGTCCACTGTAAATCAATTGATTTCTACACAGAAGAAATTAAGATGCATTAGTCTAGCAGCAAATGAACTGTTGACTCGGGTTGGGTGGGGGGAGGGAGGGAGAGAGAGAGTGAAGAACATTAATTACTTCCTCATAATACTGTCAGATTCATACCTTCCTTGACCTTCCACAGTATGGCAGTTCCTCAACCGTCTTTTAATTCACTCAGTTTATCTTTTGGTATTGTTTCCCTACAGCCCAAGAGCTGTACTGTATATAGAAGTTGTACATTGCACATACCCTCAGATTTTTTTTTGTTTCTTTCTTTTAGAATGAGGTTTACAGGTTTTTTTTCCATGATGTGGTAAGGTTAATTAAAAAAAACAAAAGTGGTAGATTTAAANTTTTTTTATTATTATATTTTTTGGCCATATTTCCTACGAGGGTGATGTACAAGTTTCTGTATGTATAAAGTCATGCTCTATTTCACGGAGAGCAGCTGAGCACATTTTGCTTCATAATCAAGGTGTGGAAAAAGGTTTAAGTTCCGATGATGAGCAGAAATTTCAAAAAAAATTAATGAAGAAACACAATTTCAGAAATTTTTCAGTGATGCGATCAGCATATTTGTATTTCAGATAATGTAGTTAAAAAAAACTTGATGTAAATTCCTCCTTTTCCTCTGGCTTAATGAATATCATTTATTCAGTATAAAATCTTTATACTATATGTTCCACATGTTAAGAATAAATGTACATTAAATCTTGTTAAGTGCTGTGATGATTGTTCCTGAATAATTTTTTTTAAATGGTTTTTAGCTGGGATTGGATCTGATTAGGAGAGATTATAACTGTACATTGTAGAAACCAATAATGAGCAGTGACTTGGATTCCACCTTCACTTCTGTCACTCCTGTTTGTGCCTGGTAATGGGGGTTACTGAGTTCACTGAGTAAACTGGGATCTACAGTTTGATGGCTGATAATAAATAGCGCTAACCACAAAATGCAGGTCTTAAACCCAGTCCACATAGAGTAGAAGGGAGTTACAAGAGGAGCAGTGTTTTTGATGGATTGCTCTCAGATTTCAAATGTCCTGAATATTTCACCCAAATGTATTTTGTTCAAATCATTGATGTATGTGGATCCTTCCAATGGGACTTGCAACATATTTTGAATTTGGAGCTGGCTCACAATCTATTTGCAGTGGTTTCAGTAAGTGCCTGTATTGTGCAAGCCTTTGCAAAGTAAAATGTGTGAAATTGATCAGTTGACTGGTTGAAGGATAAAACGTTAAACAAGATTCCTTATTCCACACGCCCCTGTTTACCTAGTAGTAAGTAGGAACACGGTTGTTAGTCGATTGGCAGATCCCTTTTCCGAGGATAATAATCTCTTAAAAAAAAATAATTTGATCACTCAATCCACGACTGTTTGTCGAACACTGCTGTGCACAATTGGCTGCTACTTTATGCCCACAAAATATATAGTCAATTCACGTCAGAGTATATTCTGTGAAACACTTTGAGACGTCTCAAAACGTGATAAGGTGCTATATCAAATGCAAGGATTATTATTTACAAGGTGTGTTACCTTGTTGTTTATTATAGCAGACAAAATATTCTGGCATTCAGTCAGAAAGAATTTGTATATATTTAATAAACCTGGTGGCTCTGATCTCTTGCCCTCAATACTGAGGTGAACATTTAACAATAGAAAAGTGAACATTTCCCATTAACTGGATGCCAGAATGCTGTGCCATTAGATACTGTGATTGAAAGCAGATGCATTCTTTAGTGGTGTTTCTCATCAGACTTCACATTGAAATCTGAGCCATTAAACACAGAGTTTAACAACAAGAAGCCACAAATAACACAAATACTCTAGGTCTATTAAGGGCCCTGTCTGCTCTAGGGCTATTAAGTGACCAAAACAGCATTCACCAGTAAGCCTTTTAAAAAGCCTCAAAAATTTAAGTGGCGCTCAAAGCACTTTTACTAATTGTAATAATGTAATGGCAATACAAGTTAGTTGTGTATAGTAAACCTACACTTGTACTCATGGACAAAGTGTCTTGAGGAGCATTTAGGTAAAGCACCAGCATAGTGGTTAAAACACTCATCTCGCCAGTGAGAGGACCTGGGTTTGATTCCCAGGCAGAGTGAAACATTGGGCAAGTTTTCTTACTCTACACGCCTCCTTTCACCCAGCAGTAAGTAGTTAGTCGATTTACGCATCTTTTTTCCGGGGGTAATAAAAAAATTTAAAATGTGGTCGCTCAATTCCACGACTGTTTGTGGGACGCTACTGTTGTGTTTCACCCTCAAAACACTTCACAGTATATTCTGTGAAGCGCTTTGTGACATCTCGAAGCCGTGATAAGGCACTATATCAAATGCAAAGATTATTATTATAGGTAATAAGGTCTACTTTATTAATAAAATAAACTAACCATATATTTATTTGACACTTTCTGTTCTGTTAGATGCTGCTAGTCCATGTAACTGCGCAGTACATGCTGCAGATCTTGACTTTTAAATGAAGAGTGCTCCTCAAGACACTTTGTCCATGAGTGTTTTAATATATGTTTTTTTTTGACTTTGTTTGACTCAGTCCCTATGACACTGAAGAGAAAAAGTTCTTTCAACATTCACACTTACTTAATATTGTTTTTTAAATGGACAGTGTAATACAAGCTATTGTGTGTGGGGGAGGGGGGTCTCTGGGACGCTACCCTGCGTGAGGGGCGCTATATAAATGTAAATTGTTGTTGATACATCTAGGGGTCATTGTCCTCAGCCTTTTTTTCTGGTATTGGGGATTCAGAATATAGACCTAGTAAATAAAGGTGATTTTTTCCACACAGAAAAGACACACTAAATGATAATAATAATCCTTGCATTTGATACAGCGCCTTATCACGTTTTTGAGAAACGCTTCATGGAATATATTGTAAAATGAATTGACTGTCTATTTTGTGGGCAAAAATGCTTTATTTAGTACATTGCAATACATTGTGGTTCGTATATGGGCATTCCATTACAAATACTGCAATATATTACAAGGCCAATAAAAATATTTATCTTGTGGATACCCAGTATTACACTTAACTGCTATGTAAAATATACAAGCACTTAGTACATACACTGTCCAGCGCTGGAACATCTTGCCCCAGCCTACTTACAACCAAGAACTTGCGGCCAAAACAGAGGCTCTAACCAGAAGGTGAGGCTAGAAGAATTTTAAAATGCTTACTTTAAGTGAAACAATTTTCCTCTCGACTTTCTCCCATGCTAGCGTATGGCTCAGGTGCCCTTTTATTGGCAGCAGGAGTCATCCAACTACCTTATCTCCAGTGGGTAAGTGACCTTCATATTTGAGCCAAGAAGATGTGCTAATAATAATAATCCATTTGATATAGTGCCTTATTATTAATTATTAATTTTATTCAATAATAATCTTTGTATTTGATGTAGCTCTCATATTGAAAGATCTCAAAGCACTTTTAATGCAGTGATTTATCACATCTTTGAGACGTCTCAAAGTGCTCTACAGAATATACTGTAAAGTGAATTGACTAAATTTTGTGGGCGAAATTTGGCAGCTAATTGCACACAGCAGTGTCCCACAAACAGTCATGGAATGAGTGGTCAAATTATTATTATTTTGGTGGGATTATTACCCCCGAAAAGTGATCAGCCAATCAACAAGCGGGTTCCGCCTTACTGCTAGGTAAACAGAGGCGTGTGGAGTAAGGAAACTTGCCTAAGGTTTCGCCCTGCCAGGGAATCAAACCGGGGTCCTCTCACTTGTGAGGGAAGTGCTCTTACTACTGAGCTACAGGACTCCAGATAACATAACTAGTCACAGCCAATTTATACACAAATATTCCGCAAACAGCCAGGATGTGAATCATCAATTTAATTGAAGGATTATCAATCAGCACACCATGAGAAACTAACTCCCTTCTCTTTTTGAATGATGTCATGAGTTCTTCAATGTCAACCTTGACAGACAGGATGTCAGTTTAATGTTTCACCCGAAGAATAACACCTCTGACAATGCAGCACTACCCTAATACTGCACTGTAACATCAGCCAGGCTTGCAGTTGAGTCAGACTAACCCTGCTGGTACATTGACTGAATTAGGTAGCTTGGTCAATTTACATGCAACGTTTCTCAAGAAAATGTTAACGTTATTTGAATACTGTTGCTCAGTGGTTGGAGCACTAGCCCCGCAAGCGAGAGGACCTGGGTTCAATTCCCGGGCAGGGCTAAACATTGGGCAAGTTTCCTTATTCCACACGCCTTTATTTACCTAGCAGTAATAGTAATCTGTTTGTTAGTCAGTTGGCGGATTGCTTTTATGGAATAATAATCCCTTCAAAAAAATTATAATAATTTGGTCACTCAATCCACGACTGTTGTGGGACATTGCTGTGCGCAATTGGCTGAAGGGTTAGGGTGTAGCGGAGAGGACGAGTGACAAACAGTGGGGATAAGCATTTTGCTCACAAAATGTGCGGTCAATTCACTTTACGGGATAATTTTGGGAAGCGCTTTGAGATGTCTAGAAGATGTGCTATATGAAAGGCAAGATTATTATTTTAGCAAAGTTTTCAATGACACGAATGGTTGATTTTCACTGAGGTAATTGTTGAACCTGCTGTGTTCTGTGAGCAGTTGGCTCTGACATCGCTGCCTGTGGTGTTGTACAGTTCAAAACACAATGTAACAAACAATGCAAATTATTTTTTTTTCGATTTGGAAAAAATTGGAAAATCTGCTGAATACCGATTTTAACGATTAAGATTGGAAACCGACAAATTTAAATGTGTAGCAGTATCATCTCCATCCCTGCCAGACTGCACTGGTTCTCAATTACCAAACGGATCAATTTCAAGATCCTCTCACTCATTTTCAAATCCCTTCATGCCCTCGTACCTCCCTAACTCCGATCTGCTTATCCCCACTGTTTGTCACTGGTCCCCTCCGCTCCACCCTAACCCTTCAGCCACTACACCTCAAACCTCTGGAACTCTCTCCCTCAATCCCTCAGACTTGTATCTCCGCACCTTCAAATCCTGCCTAAAGACCTTCCTTTTTGATTGTGCTTACGGTCACCTCCCCCTTCCCTTTCCCTCTGGCTCGGGGTCAGATTCCACCACTGTCAAGCGCTCCGGGACACTACCCGGGGTGAAGGGCGCTATATGCATGCAAGTTGTTGTAGAGTTGCAGAGATGCATATTGCACTTAGATGTAGGTCATTCAGCTTGACATGTCCATGCTGATGTTCATAGTCCGCACTTGACCCAACCTCCTATTTCCCTCACCTCTGTTCCCTTCTCCCTTGGGTATGTATCAAGTTTTCTCTTAATACTTGATACATACCCAAGGGAGTACATGCCTTTCGCTTCAACCACAGTTTCCGGCAATGAGTTCCACATTCTCACTACCCACTGTATGAGCAAGTTTCTCAACTCCCTATTAGATCTATTATTGACTATCTGACATTTATGCCCTCAGATTTGAAGTGAAACCACGTGTTGTTAATCTAGCAAGAACTTTCCTCCAGTCACAGATACATAAGCATGTAGGACGTGACCTTGAATTGGATGCTTAAATGGACCAGCCATTAATCCCTCTGAGGTACTCAGAGCTGTTGATTCTTCTAGCTTTATCTCTTGATTGCCACGCTGGGACAGGATTTAAATCTTTGCTCAGCATCTAAAAGGAGGCTAAGCAAAGACAGCGTAGGTGATTCCAGTTCCCATGATATGAGTGATAGTCTGATCATGTAAATGAGAAGAGGATCTTAATCCTTGGCACAAATTTATACAAATGCTCACAGGCCATAATATACGCTCTCCCCCCTAATCTCTTCTAACCCCTCCCCCCCACACACACATCTGCCTGAACTAAGAATCTTTTGTTTTTGAAGATCTTCCATTTTCCTGTAGCTTAGTGGTTAGAGCATTTGTCAGAGGACCTCGGTTTGATTCCTGGGCGGGCGAAACCTTAGGCAAGTTCCCTTATTT